CTTCCCGGCCTCGAGCCAGCTGAGGCCGACCCCCAGCTTGACCCAGAAAGGCTTGAGCCCCCACGTGGGCAGCGGGAGAAAGAGAAAGCAGAGGCAAAGGGCAGCGTCAAGAGGGAGGGAGCCTGCACATCTCTGGGGGCTGCGGAATCCTAGCGTTTACATCGCAGAACGAAAAAAAAACATAACAACCTCCAGTGTAGCAACCTTCTAATATTTCTTCGAAAGACGGGCCGGACTCTCAGAACACGCGAGGGTTTCTGAGAAAACCCTCTGCCCGCTGAGACGGTCTGACCCTGTGAACACTTCCCCCTCGGGCTCGCCGCCCACAACAAATTAACGACAAATGAGTCCACAAAGAAGTCGGAAGACTCAGGGCCCCGTCCCGTGCGCGGCGTCAATGCTAAGCAGGCCCAGCGGCAGGGGAGCAGCTGCGAACAATACTTCGAGCCTCTCCGCTTCCCTCTCTCTCTCTCTCTCTCTCTCCCTCCTTCGCTCTCCTTCCCTCTCTCTCTCCCTCTCCCTCCCTCTCCTTCCATTTGTGTTGTTTCTCTCTATCTCTCTCTCTCTGACTCTTTCTCTCTTGCCTTTCTCGGCTTGCGAGGTCAACGTGCTCACGTCGAACCCACAACGAGCTCGCGACAAACCGTGGCATGGTCTTCCAGGCTGGCTCCGACCGAGGGACCCCCCCAATCACCGCGCCGACCGCCCCGTGCGTCGATGGCCCCGCGAACCTCCCACGGAATCTCTGGGCACAATAAACACCCGCCCCCAAGAGCGCAACATGGGCAACGAACACACAGACAAAAACCAGCGATGCCATATCACGGGCCGGCGGAATGAGCGAAGCGATTCAATAAACGATCCAAGGTGAAACCGTATGGGGAACAACCGCGACCATCCCAAGAACACGGACAAGACCGTGTCACGAACCCCAACAAAACAACCCCGCCCAAACCAGAACAGCCCCGCCGAAACCAAAACGATTGTCCCGTTCGTGCCCGAACAGAGTTGCGCCCTCACCAGGGAACCAACCCCGCGCGTCCGCTGAAATGGCCGCCCGACCTGAGGGAGGGCGAGGAAAGCGAAGAGGAGGTAGAGGGGGAGGGGGGCGAGGGAGAGGAGGAGGAGGAGGAGGAGGAGGAGGAGGAGGAGGAGGAGGAGGAGGAGGAGGAGGAGGAGGAGGAGGAGGAGGAGGAGGAGGAGGATGAGGAGTCGGACGGTGGAGGAGACAACGACGACGACGACGACAACGTCACCCCAAATCCGAACACCCCCCCCGAACCAGACTGAGCAGATCTTCCAGCCGCGTGGCAAACGCCTGGGGGCGAACAATGTGCTACTCCACTCTCCTCGCGACGTGGCAACGCCTGCGGGACGGACAAGAATCTGATTCCGCTCGAATTTCCAGGTGGCAGCGACTGGGAAGCGAACACACAATCTACTCCACTGCACGGCTCGCCACGTGGCAACGCCTGCGAGGCGGAACGCGCATTTGTTCGCGCTACTCGCCACGTGGCAACACTGGGGGAACCACTCTCCTTGCCACGTGGCAACGTTCGGATGGGGGAGCGCATACTATTACACTGTACCCACCAAGTGGCATCGCCAGCGGGGCGAACCAAGCTTACTCCACCCCACCCCGCACGTGGCAACGAAGCGGGGCGGCAACAAATGCTACCCCTCTCTACTCGCCACGTGGCATCACCACGTGGCAAGGCCTGAACAGGTAAACACAAATACGATCCCACTCCAGTCGCCACGTGGCAAGGACTTGGGGAGCGAACGAGAAGTGTAAATCCACATCGTCAATCCCAATCTACTCGCGACGTGGCAACGCCTTGGGGGGCGAAACCAAATTTTGCATTCGATTCGCCACGCGGCAACGTCGCGGGGCGGGAATACATAGAGCGCCCATGCATTCGCAACGGGGCCGAGACAGACCGGCGAACAACATATAATATAACTTTGTGCGCAACGTTGTCACGCCGCACAGCGAAACATACATATTGTATTACATTCGACGTGGCAGCGCTGTGCAGGCGAAGACCAAGATCTACTCGGCAGGTGGCTCCAACGCGGATGAAGACGACGACGATGACGATGACGACGACGACGACGACAATGACAACGAGAATGACGACGACGACGACGACGCCGCCGCCGCCGCCACCGCGGCCGCCGCCGCCCGCCCGCCCGCCCGCCCGCGCGCGCGCGCCCACCCGCCCCCAGCCCGCCCGCCCCGCCCGCCCGCCGCGCCGCCCGCTCGCGCGCCGCCTGCCCGCCCGTCTCGGCAGTCCAAACGAAAAGCGAAAGCGAGAAGAGGGCGGCGGCATCGGTACCTCTTCCTCCTCAAGCCCCAAGCATGTCCAGCTCCTTCTCGGATCCGACGTCCTCCTCCTCCTCCCTCCTCCTCCTCCTCCTCCTCCTCCTCCTCCTCCTCTAGCCGCCCACCCTGCAACCCCCACCCTTTCTCACGAGCGCGGGGAAGTGTTCCCGGGAGCGCGGACGGCGTGTTCCGCTCCCGCCGTTCGCCCCCCGCTCTGGTGACCGCCACCCCCGATCTTGTGAGCGTCGGGGCCGTTTTTTTTTTTTTTTTTTTTTTTTTTTTTTTTTTTTTTTTTTTTTTTTTTTTTTTTTTTTTTTTTTTTTTTTTTTTTTTTTTTTTAAAAAAAAAAAAATTTTGTATATATATATATATATATATATATGAGTATCGTCGTTTGACCGATCCCTATCCCCAGCGGAGCGGCCTGGGCCCCACTGGCCGATTTACCCCCCTAGATGGGGATATAGGCCGTTCCCTTCGGGTTTCGAGGGGTATATCCCCAACTGGGGTGGTCATTTGGTGGGGGTCTCGAAGAGGATGGGGATGGGGATGGGGATCGGATGAGCGATACTGGTCTGAGCATGTTCTTCGGGTGGAGGGCTCAGGGTGAAATCCAGATGGGCCTTTGCACCTCGAGAACCAGCCCGTCTTGTGATGCACCTTTTATGCCGATTCGAACATCGAACATCCATCGAAACGGCATTTCAGATGTCACCCTTTGCCCTCCACCCAAAAAGAAGATGCTCGGGTTCTGGTGAGGTCCGGGGCCGTTCTGGTGAGCGCCGGCTGTTCGCGATGTGTGTTTTTTTCCGGACCAAGGCGTGGGCCACAGGCAGCTAGTTGTCCGCATCTCTCACTCCAGCCAACACACTCCCCACTGCAGCAAAGCAAACATAATGCAGATTCGTATCGATACACGCCGGCATGGAGCCATGAAGGGGAACGCTACGTGTAGGGGGAAACCGTCTCAGGGCGGAGGCATCGAGCTAGAATCGGCGACATATCAGATCTACCTGATAAGCCAGCGATAGGCCCCCCCCAAAAGAGACACCGCGCGCTCCTGGGCGGGGTGGGCTATCGGGCCCCCAATGGCGATCAGTGGGCGCTTGGGTGTCGATGCATCCCCCCGAGCCAAGACATCCGACGATGTCGTTTTCGGCCATCACCCCCGGCGAAGACACCCGACGACTCCAATGCGCGGCCCAAGAGTCCCGACCCACTCCCCCCGGGTCCAGCAGCCCAGGGGGCTGGCAAAGTATCCCCCGAGGCCGACACCTAGGAACAAAACTCGCAAGCATCGGAAGAAAGAATGAAGGGGCCCCAGGACACACAAATAAGTACACACAAACAAACATATTCCCCATCTTTTCCCATATTTTCTGGGTTTCTGTCTTCCCCCCACTTCGCATATTTTCACACATTCCTGGGGAATCGAAGATTAATTGTGTCTGTGTATTTCTTTCCCTCCTGAAAGAGAACAGCCCATCGGAGATCTGGGCCTGAACCTGCTCCCCCCGGAGCCTGACCCCCCTCCCAACGTTGCCCCTGACGCCGACGCGCCAGAGAGCAGCAGCCGGCGTAAGTCGGTTCGGGCGAAAGGGGGGACAGCAAAAGGGGGGGTTTGAGAATCAGCTCACGTAGCCGATTTTCCCGGCGCCTCCCGGCGCCGGAGGCGGCTTATGCATCGAGGAATGGGCCCCCTCGGTGGGGCCGAAACCAGCTGCACGCAGCAGATTTCGTAACCCCCCCTTTCCCTATCCCCCCCTGTTGTTCGGCCCGAGTAGACCACAGACGGTGGAGCGGGGACGGTCGGGGACGAGGGCCGACCGCGAGGGAGTCTAGCGGCGGCGGAGGGTGGGCCCCTGGGGTTGTGTGGCTCCCATCGTGCTCGAGGAACACACCCCGGCAGAAATCTCGAGCACCCGGAAAAGTGCCGAGAGAGTGCCGAAACCGTGTCGGACGAGTGCCTCCCAGGGCCCGAGACGTGAAAACCCTGGAGTTAGGGGGTACTGTTTGGTGCTCGAAATTCTCTCCGGCGGTCCAGAACATCAGAACCCTCGGGCCAGGGACGGGGCCGAACACGAGCCTTACCTCCTGGCATCGGCGTGGGGCCCACCGGGTGTCTCGGCACCATCCAGGAGGCAACTCGTCCGGGCCACCAGGCTATGCGCCTCGCGCCCCGCGATATTCTCTGCGCGCTCTCACGCCGCCCCCTTAGTAGATAAAAAGGGCCACCGCTCAGGCGCAGACCGCGACCCGCGACATGTCTTCGCGCCCCCTGCGGGTGACCCAGATCCGCCGTGGAGGCGGCCAGGGGGTCAGAGCTGGACGCTCCCAAAGAAAACACATCGAGCAGGGGGGACTGAGGGCACACCCGCGCAGAATCGGTCCCCGGACCCCTCCCGGGGCGAAGCTGGCCCGTCCTTCGAGCCGCGCCAGGCCGTGGCGACGCAGGGGCCCCTTCCTCGCCCCCTGCCTTGCTGGCTGGAACCAGTGCTGGGCCACCTCAGCCCGCCAGCCGGGGCCAAAGGAGGAGGAGAAGGAGGAGGAGGAGGAGGAGGGGGAGGAGGAGGGGGAGGAGGAGGAGGAGGAGGAGGAGGAGGAGGAAGAGGAAGATCCGGGACAAGGGCGGCTCCGGAGGCGAGCGGGCGGGGGGTGGGCGGCGGTCGGACGCCTCGGCCGAGGCCCTGGCCCGCTTCTCCTCCTCGGCGCGGCGCTCCTCCTCGGCGGCGCGGCGCTGTTTCTCCTGGCGGGCGCTGGGTCGCATCATCTCCCGGGATGAGGAAACGAGGAAAGGAGGAGGAGGAGGAGGAGGAGGAGGAGGAGGAGGAGGAGGAGGGAGGAGGAGGAGGAGGAGGAGGAGGAGGAGGAGGAGGAGGAGGAGGAGGAGGAGGAGGTCCCTCTCCCTTTTTGTTCCCCTGGATGGCTTTCCTGAGGGGGGATCCGGCCCCTCGCAGGACCGCCCCAGCGACCACCCACGCGTCTCGCTTCTCCTCGTCGTCCTATTGCTCTCCAGATGACCCCCCCCCCTGCCGCCAGGCAAAAGGGGCACGGGCTTCGGGTCAGCACAGACCGACACAGCCTTCAGCAGCAGCAGGAGGACTCTGGACTCTGCGCTGGGGGGAACCCACATCTGTGTACATTCGCCTGTCAGTCCCTGCGGTGTACTCGGCATGAGCGCTTTGAGAGGGGGGGGGGATGAGGGGGAGGAGGATGCTAAGGAGGAGGAGGAGGAGAAGGAGGAGAAGGATGACCAGTGCAACCCAACACTCATGAACGATGTTGGGATACACCCTCCCTCCAAGCTCCCTCCGCATCGGCCCTTGGAAAGATTTATTTCCACGGAGGGGAAAGCCCCGTTGGGCCACAACCGTGCGAAAACCTTGAAGCGTGCCGAAACGCTACTCTCAGGACTTCAGCGCCACAAGTCACCTTGACTGTTGCTTTTGACGATCCTGAATCGTGCCAGGACACCATTCCTGCAATCTCAGCACCGCGAATGGACATACCTGCTGCGCCCCGGCAATCCTTATTCGCTCCAGAACACACTTTCTGATACGTTAGCCATAACAATCAAGAGAACTCTTGCGCACTTTTAATTCGAGTATGCGCGGCGCTAAAGCGAGAACCGCATTTTGAAACAATAACTGCCCTCAATGAGTGAGGGTCTGACAAATAGTTCGAGCGAGTGCTAGCGGCGCTTAAGTAAGAACCGCATGCTGCAAACGATCCGCCCTCGATCTGTGGAACAGTGGCAAATGTTAAAAACGAATGTACGCGGCGCAAACGCGACATGTTATAGAAAAACCGCCCTGAATCCGTGGAGATCTTGCAATTTGCAAGAACGAATGTGCGCGGCGCTAAGGTGAGAACGAAATGTTGAAAACCGCCGTCAATCGGTGAACCTCTTACAAACTGTTAGAAAACTGCACGCGGAGCTCAGGCGATAACCACATTTTGAAAACGACCCTCCCTCCATCTTTGAAGCGGCTGTCAGATTTTAAGATTGAAGCTCATAAGTGGTAAGGAAGTCTGATGCGAAGTCTGGGCATCTTCCCAGAGCGTCCCCACCCATGCAGGTGGGGGGAGGATAGCAATCGTGTGGGCTGAAACGCGGCCCGGGAGGAACAAGAGCAGCATAAACCGAAACTCTTGGAACTCCGCGCGGACTTCTTGGATCCGAGCTGGACCCCTGCCCTGGCGCGCGGAGCGCGCCAGGGTCGGGGCCGGAGGACGCCGATCCAAGAAACCCGCACGGAGCTCAAACAGTTTATGTTTATGCGTTTTTCTCTTCGAGATCTCTGGTCTGAAATCGCATTTGGAATGTATACTTCCCCGTCCCTGCCGATTGGGATGGGGGGGGGAGGGCTCGGAGAGAAGGTCCACGTCCCCAATGGTTCTGCTACGGCAAATTCGCGTCGTGCCGACTTCGGGTTCGGCGTTGGTTTCTGACACCGCGGGGATCGCTCAACCTCGAACGATCGGCCGTTTCCGGAACGTCAGATTGTTCAACATCGACCGATTCTGGGTCGCTGGCGGCGTTCAACGTTGAATGCCAGCGGAGTAGTCGCCGCTGGTCGGCAATGCGAACCTACCGTAGCAATCATGGCTTTTCGGTGCGCGAGTCAAGCACGGTCACAAGCGATGACGCGCGTCGATCATGATGAGTTGCGCTGGGGCTGAGGGGAATGCCAACAACAGCTAGCATACTTCCTTGAATCAATAGGCGCGTACACTGAAACAGCTCCCGCGATGCCCACATGGCCTTCTATCCGACACAAGGGCGAACAAATACAGACAGCATCGCCAACATCATGAAACAACAATGTAAATCTTCTCTGGCAATCGAGGGACGGCGATGCGCCGGAGCGCGACGACAGTAGAAGGTTGCACGGCGTGCAGCACGGAAAACTCTACGACTTCGTGGCAGGCTGAATTGACAGGAGGAAGAGAAAGCCTCACGTCTCACGCTGCTGAGAGGCTCCTCACCCGCGCCGCAGGTCCCTCTGGTGAGAGGAGCCGCTCCATGCCGAGGTCCGACGGGGTGCGCCTTCCGTGCGTCAGTGATGCCCACAGGGACGCCTTCCTCAGCGGCTGCGGAGCCAGAGGCGGCCACATCTCATCGGGCTCCTCGAAGGCAGCGGTGTGGGAGAGCCCGCTCGGCGCTCGCTCGGGAGGTGCGGCCTCCCTCCCGGCGTCGGGGAGCACCTCCGAGCTCGCCGCTTGGCTGGAGCGCCCGGAGCTGGCTCGGCGGAGGCGCCCGGACTCGTGGTCCTGGAGCCAGGCGATGCAGTCCTCGACGCTGAAGTCGCCATCGACGCACGTCCTCACCGCGTCCGCCGCGAAGGCGTGGGCGCCGGGCGGCCCCCTGCTCTCCTCGCTGTAGACATGCAGGAAGAAGCGCTTCGGCTGGCCCGCGGCCTTGGCTATCAGGAAGTGCACGCCGCGGTCGGCGTACGCCTCCACTTGGGAGTCGGCTGAGGGGTTTGATCTGGATGGACCTCGAACAAATCGATCAGGAATGGGAGAGAAAGGCAACTCCGCTCAAAATCAATCCCCGACCCTTCCTGGGGTCCATCTGGCGCAATTTTTCACCTTGGATGAATTCTTGAAGGTCCCGGGGTCCCAAAACTGTCGCCGGAGGCCGCAGAATGCAAAACACCTCGGCGGACACAGAGCCTCGAAACTCTTACCTCCCTTCCTGCGGAACCAGTGCCGGGCCCCACCGCAGAACCCCCAGCTGGCTCCGAGCCTCCACCATGGTCTTGAAGGCCATCAGCGCGGTGGAATCCACAAAGGGCACGCTCGCGGCCATCAGCACGATGGCCCGCAGTGGCCTGCGGCCCCGCTGGAGCCCGCGCAGCTCGGCGTCCTCCAGCCACTCCTGGACCCGCTCGATGTTCGGCGGCGAGCGAGGGTGGGAAGCGAGACGGGGCGGGCGGGCCTGATCTTCTCAGGAGGCTCGGAAGTCCCCCGGCCTTCTGAGAAGTGCTCTGCACCTCCCCCGAGGACGCAGAACGCTTTCCAGAAGGCCGGAGGCCGTCTGAGAAGTCCCGCCGCCTTCTGAGACGGCCTTCTCTGAAGGGGCCCCAGGACACACAAATAAATGCACACGAATGAAACTATTCCCCCATATTTTCCTAGATTTTCTGGGCTTCTGTCTTTCCCCCCCCCCACTTCCCATAATTTTCCCAGGGGAATCGAGGATTATAATCGTGTCTGTGTTTTTGCTCCCCCTCCCGATTCTCTTTCTCTTCTCTTCCTTCCCCTCCGCCCGCCGCCGAGATGTTGGCGTAGAACAGGGGGCCCTCCACGCGGAAGACCAGGACGCCCTCGCGCGGCCGGGTCGCCGGGTTGGCGAGGCTCCTCCACCCGCGGACCTCGGCCCCCGCGGTCCGCTTGTCGCCGCCCACCTCCGAAAAGGGGCCCTGGGACACGCAAATGAATGCACACAAATCAACAGATCCCCCATATTTTCATATACTTACTGCACAAATATCAAACAATATTCCCCATATTTTCCGACATTTTTGGGTTTTTTTGTCTTCCCCCCCACTTCCCATATATTTTTTTCCCATAGTTTCTGGGGAATCGAGGATTCATTGTGTCCGTGTGTTTCTTTCCCTCCTGAACCTCGCAACCCAGCGGGGTTATGGACGGGTGGACGACCTGGTGGACGACGAGCGCGAGCGAGAGCAGGACGGTCAGGACGATGCCCTCGAAGGCTCCGAAGTAGAGGGTGCCCAGGCACGAGAACCACCAGACGGAGAAGTCGGTGCGGAACATTCGCGAGCCGGAGTCCCTCTTGGAGCCCGGGCAGGCCTTCAGCGACCACAGCCACAGCATGTGATCGAACTCCACGAGATGCGAGGCGCCATTGACGATGATCGCGTTGAGCACGCAGCGGGGTATGTAGTAGAGGCACGCGCTAAAGGCATAAATGGAGGCAGCCACCACGACTGCAACGTATACGTTGGTGCCCAGCTGACTCCTGATGCCGGCCGCATAGGCTATGCCCATGCGGCTCAACCCGATCTGCGTTGGCACGGCCGCGCAGAGGGAGCCAACGATGTTGGCAAGGCCGAGCGCGATGAGCTCGTTCATGGCCACCACCTGGTAGCCGGCCTTCATGGCGAACTTTTTTGCGCCCGCGAAGGAAGACAAGAACGTGACCAGTGCGACCAGAAAGGCTCCAGGCACCATCTCCTTCGCTCAGGTCGGGTATGTCCCCCTGCAGGCGGATTTTGGAGGAACGTGTAAAATTAGCCGAACAATACTCCAAAGGTGCTCACAAATAGTCCAAACATCGTCCCTAGATATGTTTTTTTTGTGCATATTTTTGAATATTCTTCCTGTAGAGGGACAGGCCCGACTCAGTCCTTCGCTCCAAAGGTGCTCACAAATACTACAAAGGTCCAGAGGGAAATTAGTCGAACAATACTCCAAAGGTGCTCAAACATAGTCAACACATCGTCCCTAGATATGTTTTTTGTGCATATTTTGGAATATTCTTCCTGTAGAGGGTCGGGTCGGGCGAAAGGGGGGGATAGCAAAGGGGGGGTTCGAGAATCAGCTCACGCAGCTGATTTTCCTGGCGCCTCCCGGCGCCGGAGGCGGCTATGTACCGAGGAATGGGCCCCTCGGTGAGGCCGAAACCAGCTGCATGCAGCAAATTTCGTAACCCCCCCTTTCCCAATCCCCCCAGGGACAAGGCCCGACTCAGTCCTTCGCCAAGAGCAGGTCCTCCTGCGATGCGATCGGCCACACCGCCGCCGGGAGGCCCGACGGCACCTCGCCGACGACGTCGATGCCCAGAGACTCGGCCCTGTAGCGGCAGAACAGGGCCGACAGCGCGAGGGCCGCCAGCTCTTCTGACGGGCCTGCTGTCCACCACCACCACCAGAAGTTGGCGGGGGGAAGGAGATGGAGGACGAGGAGGAGGTGGACGAAGAGTAGGAGGAGGAGGAGCAGCAGGAGGAGGAGAAGCACGAGGAGGACCCCCTCCCCCTTCAGCTTGTGGTGGTGGTGGTGGAAGACAGGCCCATCATCTTTGAACTCCCCCACCCACTTCAGCGACCAATGCACGCGTCGCAGCTTCTTGGCAAATAACAAGAAGATGACGGAGATCAAGCTGATCTGGCAGGTGGGCCAGTGGCACTGCTCCATCTCCCACGGCGTCATGAACAGAATGTCCAGAATGCCTCCTGATATCTTCTTCGGTATGCCGAGCATAGGCTTCAACTGCGATGCGATGATGAGGAGCGCACTTGCGGTAATAAAGCCGCTGAGCGCCGGCTTGGAGAGAAAGCGCACCACGAAGGCGAGCCGAAGGACGCCCATGAGGGCGATGATGACGCCCACCAGCAGCGTGAAGATGGGTCCAGCATGGGAGCGCGCCTCCAGGTCTCCATACTTCTCGAGCTGGATACCGGTCAGAAGGCTGATCAGCCCGCCCGTGCCCACAGAGGAGTGGACGCAGGTGCCAAACAGGGAGTAGACTACGGGCGGCAATATGCAGCTGTACGGCCCGGAGACCAGCGCCACCTTGCACAGGTCGGCGTGGGCCAGCGACTGGGCGACCAGGATGCAGCCCAGCGTGGCAGCCCCGGCCAGGTCCTTGGGGGTGTTCTCCCTCCACGCGTACGCAGGGAGCCATTCGAGCACCGGCACGTACTTGACAAGCACGTCGCGGCAACTCCCCCGGCTCGCGGAGTCGCGGTACGCCAGGCTCCCGCTCTTGACCTCGGGTGCCTCCTCCAGCGGGAAGAAGTCGTGGGAAGATGACTCCATCAGCCCCTGCAGAGAGCCGCTCGTGGGGAAACCAGAAGGTACCGATGCCGCTACTCCCTGGACCTCCAGGGGTGCGTTCTGGACAGTGATTTCGAAGTGCATCCAGCCGCGGCGACGAGGGCCTCCCAGGAGGCGAGGACGAATGCAGGATAGTGGCATCGGTACCCTTTCCTCCCCTGATTTGGGCGCCTGAAATGGGTACGCCTAGGAAAGGGTACGATGCCCAACAGCAGCAAAATGATGTCCCAAACCGACAGCGGCCGCTGTTGGGCAGGCAACCTTGCGCCTCAAATGGGCAACGTCTGCAGCCTGCAGCGACGCCAACAACGAGTTTTGCGCAACTCGGCAGGAACTGCTGTCAATCTTCGTACCCCTTCTTTCCGTATTCATTTCTAGAGGAACAAGCAATGACATACACATAAACTTTCGGAGGTGCGCGGATTTCTTGGGTCGGCGCTGGACCCCCCTCCCTAGCGCGTGGAGCGCGCCAGGGGCGGCACCGGAGGCGCCGCCAGGGGGCTCCAGCGCCGATCCGAGAAATCCGCGCGGACCTCCGAAAGTTAATGTTTATGTCACTGCTTGTTCCTCTATGTTGCCGCGCCGTTCTTTCTCGATGCGCCCAAGTGGACGACGCCGATACCACGGCAAACCCACGGCAAACCCTGCGCCTCGCGTCCGAGGAGACGCAGCCGGCGCCGCGGCAAACCCCACGGCAGGCCCGCCCGAGGCGGAGTCTGCCCCGGTGGCTGCCGCGCCATCCCCCAGACGCAGGGCCGCGCGTCCGAACAACCGGCGCGGTGACATGTCATGTCTCGTCCCCAAAATTTCAAGCGTTGGAGGCTTGGGAATGGACACCGCAACACGAACACAGGGGGCTTGCCTTCACAGGGGGAAGATGATCCTCGATTCCGGTGTTGGTGGTAATCTTTCGGCCACCTAGGAGGCCCGAGTATGACCACCATCGCCGAGATCGGGAATATTTATCCTGGGTGCAGGCGCACCGCCGATTACGGCGGCGGCATTGGATAAGGAACGTCTTCCTGGGGCCCAGACCCTGGCGCACTCCTGATTGTTTCGAGGCGAGGCGGGTGGCCCACGCTTGGCCGCCCATCGGTCGCGAGACTCTGGGTTCCTTACCGAGGGTGTCCTTAATTATTCCCCAATCGGTGCTTGCACTGAAGGGGTCCTAGCAGAAATTCCCCAATCAACGCTTGCACTGAAGGGGTCCTCGCGGATGTTTCCCAATCAGTGCTTGCACTGAAGGGGTTCTCGCGGATGTTCCCCAATCAGTGCTTGCACCGAAGTGATCCTAGCAGAATATGAAAAATTTGCGAACATTTCCCGCCGATTTTGGTAGCAAGCCGGTTCCGGGTTCCCGGGTTCTCGGTTCGGGGTCCCGGCCCGATTTCGGTGGGCGGCGGGGTTCCCGGGTTCCCGTTTTCCTGGTCGATCTTCTTATCGATCGATCCCACCATCGATCTCATTTCCCACCGCGCTATCGATCTTGTCATCGATCTCTCAATCGATCCCACTATCGATCTCACAATCGATCTCACTATAGATCGCACGAGCGTTCCCCCGATCGATCTCATTATTGATCTCATCGAATCGACTTCACTATCGGTCTCACGATCGATTAAACAATCGTCCTCACTATCGATTCCACTATTGATCTCACAATCGATCTCAATATCCATGTTAGTGATATGGATATTGAGATCGATTGTGATAATGTTTTTCTCTCTGGTGTTTCATGACCATCCACTGATTGTTTTTTTCTCTGGTGTAATCTAAAATTACACCAAAAAACCCTATCAATGGATGGTTTGAAAAAGGATGGATAAAAAAATCGATAAAGAGATCGACCGGGAACGCCACAACCCGGAACCCACCGAAATCGGCCCGGAACCAATAACCAAGAACCCAAGAAACTGGAACCATGAACCCAACCGGCTACCAAAATCGGCGGGAAACTCTCGCCAAATCTTTCGATTTCCGCTAGGACCCCTTCAATGCAAGCGCGGATTGGGGAACCTCCACAGGGCAAATTGGTGTTGGTGTCAACCTCCAGGCCTCCCAAGGCTAGCATTTGGACGCCCGAAATGGGTACGGAAAGAATGGGTACAATGCCCAACAGCAGATGTGGTCCCAAACCAGCAGCGGCCGCTGTTGGGCAGGCGGCCTCCTGTCTCGAATGGACACAGGACGCGGCGGCGCGGGCAGCGAGCCCTGTTCAAAATGAGCAAGAACTGCTGTTGGGCATTGCATTCATTTCTTCCGTACCAATTTCGTTTGTGCCGAGAGAGGCCGCGAGGGCGCGGATACGGAGACTCGGGTCGAGCGAAAGGGCGGCGCGGGCAGCGAGCCCTGTTCCAAAGGAACAGGAGCTGCTGCTGGGCACGGTGCCCGTTCTTTCCGTACCCATTTCTCGGGTCGGGCCAAAGGGGGGGATAGCAAAGGGGGGGTTTGAGAATCAGCTCACGTAGCTGATTTTCCCGGCGCCTCCCGGCGCCGGGAGGCGCCCATGTATCGAGGAATGGGCCCCTCGGTGAGGCCGAAACCAGCTGCATGTAGCAAATTTCGTAACCCCTCCTTTCCCAATCCCCCCCTTTCGCCCGGCCCGAATTTCGGGCCTCCCAGGGCGAGCGGGCCTGAGCTCGGGGAGCGGCCCGACGCCCTGCCCCGCCCCGCCAGGGGCGCCCGCGGGGGGGGCGCCTCCCTGGCGGGCGCACCGCGCCGCGGCCCGCAGGAGGCGGGCGGGGCCCGAGGCGCAGGGGGCGCGCGCGCGCGCCCCCGCGGGGAGCGCGCGAGGCGAGCGCATCTCGGGGGGGGAGACGAAGGGGCAGGATACGTGGCAACGGTGAGACTGGAAGGGGCCCTGGGACACACAAAGAAATACACACAGATCAACAGATCCCCCCCTGTTCTCCCACATTTCCGGGGGTTTCGTGTTCCCCCCACTTCCCATGTTTTCCAATCTTTTCCTGGGAATCGACGATTCATTGTGTCTGTGTGTTTCTTCCCCTCCTGATCCATATCAACGGTGAGACGTAGCTCGGGGGGGGCGCATCTCGCGGGGGACGAGAGGGTATAAGGGGCGCCCCTTTGGGGGGGACGTCTCCCAGAGGGGGCGGACCTCCCGGCAGGGACGTGCCTCGGGGGGTGGGGACGGGGACGACAGGGGACAGAATCAGCTCACGTCGCTGGTGATCCTTGGGCGTGGCTTAATTGGGGGGGTCACAAACGGGGGGGTCAGAAAAGGTCCCCTTGCGTGCCCCTTTCGGGCCCCTCCAGAGCCCCAGGGGGCTCGTTGAGGTACCGTTTGGGTACCTTTTCGAACCACCCTCGCCACCCCCCCATTTATGACCCCCCCATTACGCAGCGCCCAAGCTGGCGCCTCCTGGCGCCGGGAGGCGCTCACGTATCGAGGAAAGGGCCCGGCGGCGGGGCGGAGACCGGCTGCATGCAGCAGATTTCGCACCCCCCCTTTTCCATACCCCTCCCCTTCGCTCGACCCGAGTATCCGTATCCGCGCCCTCGCGGCCTCTCTCGGCACAAACGAAATTGGTACGGAAGAAACGAATACAATGCCCAACAGCAGTTCTTGCTCATTTTGAACAGGACTCGCTGTCCGCGCCGCCGCGGCCTGTGTCCATTTGAAACAGAAGGCCGGCCCAACAGCGGCCGCTATTGGTTTCGGACAACATTTGCTGTTGGGCATTGCACCCCTGTTTTCCGTACCCATTTCGGGTGTCCGAACTCACGGCCTGGATCCCAGGGTTCGATCCCGCAGATGCGCGGTCGGGGGTGCGTTATCTGCGCGGGGCATCCGAGAGAAAACGTCCCGCATCCGCTGGGTGGCGGCACCGGGGGCCGTCCCGCGAGGCCGCGGATTTGGAACTATGTTGCTCGCCCAGGATAGGAAGGGGGGGGCCTCCCCGCGGCTCTCGCAGCCAAAGGGCTACAGAAGGAGAATGGAATGGAATGGAATGGAAGCCTGCGTGCCGGCTCCGGTAACCGGAGCGGTCCCCTAGAGGGCAGACCGTGCGCTGAGCATGTCGGACAACGCAATTTAACACATTCTCTGGCGTGCAAGCAACGAGCACACCCGGGAAAACCCGGTAAACAAATCCTCTGGCAGGCACTCAGTCAGGCACTCAGTCCTTCCGCAGCTGACGGCTGCGGAAGGAGAGGCATGCGCAAGACGAGGCCAGGACAAGGACAACATCGGGCCACGACACATCGGGGACCTCTAAGATCCGGCAGTTCTGGAGGATGTCTCGGGCGCCGCGGGGTTCCACACGCATGGGATTCCATACCTGCGGACATAGGGTTCCACGCGCATGGGGTGTCACAACTTTGAGGGACTACCTCGCGTGGCTCCCTTTCACACCCCGGCCTTGATATTGGGCGGGCGGCTTCAAGAACTGGGAGACACGATCACAACCGCAGTACATTATATCGAACTCTTATCAGCGAAGCTCGCCGAAGCTTTCATCCGACCCGACTCGAGAAGAGTCCTCCAGACGAGCCAGAATATTGAATGGACTATCCCATGATTTGCTCGGTCATCGCCGATACATCGTGACAAAAGAGCCGCCTAGGAGCTCCTCTTCCTCCGTGCCTTGGTCCTCCTTCTCCTCCTCTCTCATCCCCTCATTCCCCTTTCTTCGGCGATTTGTGGCGTCGAAATCCACTTCCCACGCCTCGATGGATAATATAATTACGTTCCAGCCAGGAGACGAATGATAATCACTAGCACCCAATCCTGCCACCTCGCCCTCTTCTTCTTGCTGCTGCTGCTGCTGCTCCTTCTCCGTCTCCTTCTCCTCCTCCTCCTCCTCCTCCTCCGCTTCCCGCTACGGATGCGCCACCTCCGTTCTCTTCCGCTCCTGTGCGCACCGGCTCGTGCTCCTCCCCAATCCTGCCTCGCACTGTTCCGCCAAGCCCCATTTCACTCCACCCTGTTCTGTCCCGCCCTGCCCGGCAAATATCATCCCATCTCGTCCCATCTCCTACTTCTCCCCCTTCACCCCTGCTTCCCCCTCCTCGGGCTCCCTCTCCTCCTCCTTGTTCCTCCTCCTCCTGTTGTTGCGCGTCCTCCCTCCTCAAACTTCTCGTCCTCTTTCTGCTCTCCCCTCATCCCTCCTCCTCCGGGGAAAGCAGCAGGAACCGATACCGCTACTCACTCCCTGGACCTCTCCTGGGGCGCGCTTTCACCAGGAGCTCGAGGCGAACCTAGCCGCGGCGACGAGGGCCTCCCACAAACGGCCAGGGCGAGGAGGGCAGCTGTATTGGCACCCCCTCCTGGGGGAACAAACAATGACATAAACAAAAACCCTCAGAAGTCCACGCGGATTTCGTGGATCGGCGCTGGGCCCTCCTGGCGGCGCCTCTGGCGCCGGCCCGTGCCGCCCCTGGCGCCGCCCCTGGCGCCACCCTTGGCGCCGCCCCTGGTGCGCTCTCCGCACGCAAGGGAGGGATCCGAGAACTCCGGGCGGACCTCAGACTTTGCTTGTCTGTAACACGTCGTTATTTGTTACCCGACCGACTTTCCCTGACCTTAGAGGCCTCCCAGATGGGGTCGGAGCAGACAGGGTCGGAGGGTCGCGCCGCATCGATGATGCATCACCAATGCATCGGCCATGCATCGGCGACGTCTGCGATGCATCGGCGACGTCGGCGTGGAGAAAACCTTGCCCCACATCGAACGGCATCGCCGATGTATCGGCGATGCGCCGCGATCATGGAATCCAATTTTTACTTTGTGGTTGAGGACGAGGGAGCGCGACCACAAAGCTTCACCCAACTCAGCCTCGACGGCTGTGCGAATCAAGTCGCCGTGCAAATTGGGAACACCACACGAGCCGAAACCCAATCTGCTGGCACCCCATCTGGAGGTAGAGATTAGACGAAACCACGACGAGGAGAAATTCGGGTGAGGATACATAGAGAATTTCTGAGATCCAGCGGCTCTGGACGATGTCTCGGGCGCCGCGGCCTTCTCAGAGCGTTCCCGAACGCTCTGGAACTGACATATACTCGTCCCAAAGAAGAATTATTCACTGCGTGGGGATCCCCATATGTGCATCTCCTTGCTGGCGCTCCCTTGGTGGTGGGACTCGGTGAGGACGAATCTGGATTTAAGTGTGACTGAGCTGCCTCTCTCTCTGCTCTCTCTGCTCTCTCTGTCTCTCTCTCTCTCTCTGCCCTCTCTCTGTCTCTGCCTCTCTTTCCCTGCTCTCTCTCTCTCTCTCTGCCTCTCTCTCTGCCTCTGTCTCTCTGCTCTCTCTCTCTCTCTGCCTCTCTCTCTGTGCCTCTCTCTCTCTGCCTCTATCTCTGCTCTCTCTCTCTCTCTCTCTCCTCTCTCTCTTCTCTCTATTCTCTCTCTGCTCTCTCCTCTCTCTCTCACTCTCCCTCTCTCTCTCTCTCGCTCTCTCTCTTCTCTTCTCTTCTCTCTCTCTCTCTCTCTCTCTCTTTCTCTCTCTATCTCTCTCTCTCTTTCTCTCTCTCTCTCTTTCGCTCTCTCGCTCTCTCTTGCTCTCTCTCGCTCTCTGTCGCTCTCTCTCGCTCTCTCTCTCTCTCTCTCGCTCTCACTCGCTCTCTCTCGCTCTCTCTCGCTCTCCCTCGCTCTCTCCCGCTCTCTCTCTCTCTCTCTCTCTCTCTCTCTCTCGCTCTCTCCCGCTCTCTCTCTCTCTCTCTCTCTCTCTCTCTTCTCGCTCTCTCTCTCTCTCTCTCTCTCTCTCTCTCTCTCTCTCTCTCTCTCTCTCTCTCTCTCTCTCTCTCTCTCCACTCTCTCTCTCTCTCTCTCTCTCTCTCTCTCCTCTCTCTCTCTCTCTTCTATCTCTATCTCTCTCTCTTCTCTCTCTCTCTCTCTCTCTCTCTCTCTCTCTTCTCTCTTCTCTCTTTCTCTCGCCTGTCTCCTCTCTCAACTCCCCCTCCTCTCTCTCTCTCTCTCTCTCTCTCTCTCTCCTCTCTCCTCTCCCTCTCTCTCTCTCTCTCTCTCTCTCTCTCTCTTCTCTCTCTCTCTCTCTCTCTCGTCACGGGCTCGTGAGATCAGCCAGGGTGGCTCCCCCTTGGGGCTCCCAAATGATGCCCCTGGCAGCGTTTTGTGACCATGAGGCTCTCAAGAGATACATGTTGGGGCGCCAAACGGCAATTCTAGCTGAGGCGTCCCGCCAAAATCGGCGCGAACGGGCTCGTGAGATCAGCCAGGGTGGCTCCCCCTTGGGGCTCCCAAATGATGCCCCTGGCAGCGTTTTGCGACCATGAGGCTCTCAAGAGATACATGTTGGGGGCGCCAAACGGCAATTCTAGCTGAGACGTCCCACCAAAATCGGCGCGAACGGGCTCGTGAGATCAGCCAGGGTGGCTCCCCCTTGGGGCTCCCAAATGATGCCCCTGGCAGCGTTTTGTGACCATGAGGCTCTCAAGAGATACATGTTGGGGAGGCCAAACGGCAATTCTAGCTGAGACGTCCCACCAAAATCGGCGCGAACGGGCTCGTGAGATCAGCCAGGGTGGCTCCCCCTTGGGGCTCCCAAATGATGCCCCTGGCAGCGTTTTGTGACCATGAGGCTCTCAAGAGATACATGTTGGGGGCGCCAAACGGCAATTCTAGCTGAGACGTCCCACCAAAATCGGCGCGAACGGGCTCGTGAGATCAGCCAGGGTGGCTCCCCCTTGGGGCTCCCAAATGATGCCCCTGGCAGCGTTTTGCGACCATGAGGCTCTCAAGAGATACATGTTGGGGGCGCCAAACGGCAATTCTAGCTGAGACGTCCCACCAAAATCGGCGCGAACGGGCTCGTGAGATCAGCCAGGGTGGCTCCCCCTTGGGGCTCCCAAATGATGCCCCTGGCAGCGTTTTGTGACCATGAGGCTCTCAAGAGATACATGTTGGGGAGGCCAAACGGCAATTCTAGCTGAGACGTCCCACCAAAATCGGCGCGAACGGGCTCGTGAGATCAGCCAGGGTGGCTCCCCCTTGGGGCTCCCAAATGATGCCCCTGGCAGCGTTTTGCGACCATGAGGCTCTCAAGAGATACATGTTGGGGGCGCCAAACGGCAATTCTAGCTGAGACGTCCCACCAAAATCGGCGCGAACGGGCTCGTGAGATCAGCCAGGGTGGCTCCCCCTTGGGGCTCCCAAATGATGCCCCTGGCAGCGTTTTGTGACCATGAGGCTCTCAAGAGATACATGTTGGGGGCGCCAAACGGCAATTCTAGCTGAGACGTCCCACCAAAATCGGCGCGAACGGGCTCGTGAGATCAGCCAGGGTGGCTCCCCCTTGGGGCTCCCAAATGATGCCCCTGGCAGCGTTTTGTGATCATGAGAGAGTGTGAGTGTGAGCTTAACTTATCTTATCTTATCTTGAAATCTCTTCTTATCATATCTTGTGCTATCTTATCTTATCTTGTAGTATCTTATCTTGTCTTGTCTTATCTGGTGGTTATCATTGGGAGGAGGGAGGCGCGAGCGGGAGGAAGAAGGAGGAGGAGGAGTGGGAGGCGTCAGAGTAATAACAAGAACCCCAATCCTTAGGATATGGGGAAAAAACGGCATACACATAAGCTTGTGGCGCTCCGCGCTGATTTCTTACATCTGCGCTGGACCCGCCCTTCCTGGCGCGCGGAGCGCGCCAGGGGCGGCGCCGGAGGCGCCGCCAGGGGGGAGGCCAAGCGCGGAGCCAAGAAATCCGCGCTGAGCGCCAGGAGTTTGTTTGTGGCGTTTTCTCTTCTTCGGCAGTCCCAAACCGGTAACTTGCCATCGCTCGGACGTCCATTTTCCGTGCGTCTCCGGTCTCATGCGTGCATGGTTTTCGAAAGATGGCCCAGCATGCTCCTCGATGGTCCTTGCCGAGAAAGAGCGCAGACGGCCGAACGATGCCAAGGGAAACTAAAGGGGGGGAGGCGCCCCAGCGAAGAGGCCCTCCTCTTGAGCAGGGACCGACCGTCCCGGCATTCCTATAGTCATATCACGAAATGTTCCTAGAACCCAAGAATGTTCGAAGCACAAAAACAATGCTCTTCGAACATAAGCCCGATGTGTTCAAACAAGACAGTCCCAGCCAGCACTGTTCGAAAAGCTCGTGGGAAACACAAAAAGGTGCTTCGAGCATTGCTTGGTGGGGCTATATTAGGCGAGCCGGGACGCTTCGCCACTGCTTGAGATCCTCGCCCCTCCTGCAGGCCGCGGTGCCGCCGCCGCGGCGCCGCGAGGAGGAGGAGGAGGAGGAGGAGGAGGAGGAGGAGGAAGAGGAGGAGGGGGGAGGGCCCCCGCGGCGGGCAGCGGGCGCCTGGAGCTGCTCGGCCGCGCGCGCCCGGAGGGCCCGGGCGTCGGCCATCGCCCTCTCCCGGATCTCCTCGGGGGGGGGGGGAGGGGATGGACAGACCCCCCCGTTAGTAAAACGTGGTTTAATGCGGGATGACGATTAATTAAAAAAATGGGGGGAACGATTAGAAAAATAGTTTCCTGCTATTTCTGCACAAGTTTCTGACTGGAGGAGAACGATTTTTAAAGATGGTTTTCCAACCCGCGGCCGATTTTTTCTAATCGTCATCCCGGGCGCCGCCGCGTGAACACGACCCCCGGTCATTCATTAATCGTCATCCTCCATTAGTGAAAACGACCTGAGGCCCAAACCTGGCGGGCGCAAGCCTGGAAAATAACGGCCACGGCGCCCTCTCGAGAACCGATGTCGGACGATTCGCTAGTCGACGTGTCACTGTTGGGGCTTCTGTCCACCCCCGAGGGGGGTCGGGGGTTGCTAAAGTTCGGTCGGGCACGACCCCCTACAGGGGGGCCTTCGACGAGCAGTGAGACATGTTCCGAAAAGGGCCCCCCAAACGGCTCAGAAATGCGCCAAACATCGTCCCCAGACTAATTCTTCACTACCTTCGAATCTTCCTCCTGTAGAGGGACGTGCCCGACTGAATGCGAAACGTGCCCCTGGCCCAAGCTGCCCCCAGCTCTTCGCTCGATTCTGGAGCCCCTGGGGCCCCCTGGGCCTCGTGAGGGGTGCTCTGGAGGCCGCGGGGGCCTCCTTGGAGATCCTGGGGGTTATCTTGGGCCAGGCTCACTTCTGGCAACACCCGAGGGGGTGGGGGGAGGGCCGATGCTCCTCGCGCTCCGCGAAGCGCGACTGACCGTCTTCGCGCTTTCGCAGGAAGGTGTTTGCCTTCCCTCTCCGCGCCTGCAGAATCTTCTGAGCTGCGGATGTTACGCTTGTCGAGCAGAGCACAATCGGCAAATGCAAAGACCTCAAACGGTCGAGTCGCGGTCGTCCGGCTTCTATTCCCCCCTCAGGAGGAGGAGGAGGAGGAGGAGGAGGAGGAGGAGGAGGAGGAGGAGGAGGAGGAGGAGGCCCCCTCCCCCCTGAGCAGGACGAGGGCCTCGCGCCTCGCCCTGGAGCCGCGCAGGCCGCGCGGTCAGCGCGACGCACCCTCGTGTAGGGGGCCACGTGCGAACCCTGCCCCTACCCCCCCACGATTTCTGAGGGGGGAGGGGTGGGGCTCACTGAGCTCCCGGGCGAGGTGAACCCCACCCTCGTGTAGGGGGCCACGTGCGAACCCTGCCCCTGCCCCCCCACGATTTCTGAGGGGGGAGGGGTGGGGCTCACTGAGCTCCCGGGCGAGGTGAACCCCACCCTCCCCCTCAGAAATCGTGGGGGCAGGGGTAGGGTTCGCACGTGGCCGCCTGTCGTGGTGGCCCTGGTGCTCAGAGCGCGTGTCGGCGCCAACGTGCGCTTGTCCCCCGTGGGCTTAAAAAAGTGAACGGGGCCCTGGGACACACAAATGAATGGACACGAATGGCAGGATTCCCCATGTTTTCTGGGGTTTTTTGTCTTCCCCCCCCCCTTCCCATCTTTTTTCCTATATTTTCTGAGGAATCGACGATGCATTCTGTCTCTGTGTGTTTTTCCCCTCCTGATAAAAGCGTGCCTGCCCACCGACGCCCTCCAATTGCGACGCGGGCGGTACATCAACGAGGGCCGGCGCAGGCCGAGCGGGGCTGACACTCACTGGGCCAGCACACGTCCCGAGGATCATCGAGAGGGTGGGGGGGGGGGGGAGGACGGGGAGGGGGAGGAGGGGAGGGGGGGGGGAGGGGGGGGGGGGAGGGGGAGGGGTGAGGGGGAGAGGGGGGAGGGGTGGGGGAGGGGGGGGGGGAGGACGGGGAGGGTGAGGGGGGAACGCTGGGCGCGTTAGCGTCACATCTGACGTCCTACCCCTCCCCCCCATCCCTGACCATGGCGTCAATATCAGATGTATTCGCACAGTCGGATGTCGAGCAGGGCAATGATCCCAAGAGTGTACGCGATGGATGGAAAACATGGTGTAGACGAGCATGGCGGAGCATAGCGTGTCATAGCATGGCGTGGCATTGCGTCGTGACGCATTGCATCACAAAGTATAGCCACGCAAAGCATAGCATCGCATAGCGGTGCACAACACCACATCGCATTGCGTGCCGTGGCATGGCACCGGATGACTTGAGGGCAAATGGCCCGTCTACGAGAGGACAAAGACTGTCCGTAATGCCGGCTCTGTGTCCTCCGCAACCGTGCCTGCCCGATGTGGGCGCTTTCGAATGCCAAGTACCGTCCGGAGGCGCGGGAACGAGGCCACCTCTGCAGCGGGAGCACGATTTTGAATGACCGAAGCGCGGAAATGAGGGCGGCGCTGCAGCGGGAGAACCATTGTGGAAGAACCAGAAACAACCCGCTTGAAAAAGCACATGGGAAAAAACAAATTACGATATCCTGTGTGAAACCCATATGCGGAGAGGAGGGGAGACTCTCGGGACAGAGTCAGGGGAGAGAGGATAGTAGTACTGATATTTCGTAATTGTAGACGGAGGTCTTCGCGAGAACGATCAAGGACCACTAGGCTCGATGAGGAGACCGTGGGGCCGAATTGGCCCAACTGAGACCAAATTGCGTCAGATTTGACGGAATTTCAATGCACTGTGTCGGATTCGGCCGGTTTGCGAGCACGGAAATTGCAGTGCTGATGCTCAATCTCACCTCCTAGGAATTGCATCCTAAAAGGAGGGAGGTGAAAAGGGGGATGGGGAGGAGGAAGGGGGGGGACGAGGGTGAGGAGGATGGATGCACTGCGCGCGAGCGCCGCTCCTGTGCGTGATTCAAAGCCGCTTCGGAGCAAACTACATTTTCCGCGCTTGCGCTGACGACGTGGGCATTGTCCTCGATGATGTCCCAACGCAGCTTCGGGCACTGGCGGTGGCGCTGGAGGAGCACGGGAAGCTGTCTGGTATGCAGGACCTGGACAAAACCATTGGAACCCCGCTTTGGGAAACGCCTATCTCTTCGGGAGTCGTAAGAGCGTAAGACTCGGGTTCAGGGGATTCGGGTTGGCCTGAGGGGGCCATCGTGAAAATGACGAGCCCCAGTCTGAAATTTGACGCGAGCTCCCGCTGCAGACATCCCACGAAAACTGGACCGTCGAAAAAGCAGACGCGCTCGTCAACAAGTGTTGACAAACCCGAGTTCCGGCGTACACGTCGTTCATTTCTAATCGTGCTCATTTCTAACTGTGCTCGCTTCTAATTGTTCCTGGCCCCCTAGTGGCCAGGAGGAGGCCCAGGATAGAGCAATTAGAACTGAAAGGATCTCGGCCCCCCAAGAAATCAAAGAACTATCGAATAATTAGAAATGAGCAATGTGTACCACTTCCGCTGCTCGTCCTGGAGAGCCCACGTCGCAACGGTGGTCAGAGCGTTCTCTCCAACGAGCGTCGACAAACCAGAGTCTCGGCGGCGCGAGGAGGGCCGTGTCACGGGGCGGGGCGGCGGTGAAGGTCCATCCCACAATCGGCGGCTCCCTGGGGGTCCGCTGCTCAGGAGCGGTTTCGGCGTCGGCGTCGGCGTCGTCGTCGTCGTCGTCGTGCGTCGACGCCGACGCCGACGCAGACGCCGACGGCGACGGCGACGCCGAGGTTGCCGTCGCCGACGCCGAGGTCGCCGACATCGAGGTCGCCGACGCCGACGCCGACGCCGGTCTTCTCGGGCGGGGGTCGGCTGCGGAGGTCCGCTGCTCAGGTCGGCGGTGAGCGAGGGGGAGGAAGCGACGAGGAGAAGGCCTTCTCAGAAGGCGGCGGGACTTATCAGAAGCCCTCGCACCTTCTCAGAACTCTCTGCGTCTTCGGGCAAGGCGTAGAAGAACTTCTCAGAGGGCTGGGGGACTCACGAGCCTTCTGAGAGGGCATTCTCCTTCTCACTTCCCCCCAGGCTCGCCGCAGACACAAACGGAGAAACAAGAATCAACATAAACTTTCGGAGCTCCACGCGGAGCTCCGAACGTTCGTATTTATGCCGTTCTTGGTTCCTCGAAGCGAAGGTCCACCCCACGAAAGGCACCGGCCACGTCAAGGTCCATGAACGAGGCGTCCAAGATGCACCCCCCGCGTGGGCTGGGGCAGACGGGCCCCACTGTCCACCAGCGCGGAGGCCACAGCTGCTCCTCTGCCGCCATCCTCCTCCTCCTCCTCCTCCTCCCTGCTCCTCATCCTCCGTCCTCCTACAACTGTTTAGGCTCCATATGGGCATCCCGAACCTGTATACGTGTGCGCGTCCAGCGTCGAGGACTGCTAAGAAGATAGGCCATGCCAGTGTAGGCGTGTAGGCAGGCGTAGTGTACTCGGGCAGGGTGCAACGATTGTGAACAGAGTCTGCCCAGCACGCCATACAATCGTAGATGTGTCGAATGAAGCGGCTCGACTGCGCAAGCGCCTTCAACATCTCCCGATGTTGACCCGTGATTCGCCTGACAAGGGGGGGGGAAGGGATGACGAACAGTCACTCCATGACTGCCTTGCTTGCTTGTCTAGCTTTGGGACGCAGAGAGGAATGGAAAAGAGAGGAGGGGCTTAGACACGGCCTGGGCACTGGGCGGCCTGGAGGCGCGCAGCGTAGCGAGAGGCGAGGGAGAAGAGCACACTTCCAGGCCGTGCCACTCCTGCGCCTGCGCCTCGGCGAACGCTTTGGCCTCCACCTCACAGCGCGCGATGGCCTCCTGCTAAAAGTTCCCCCCTCCCAGTCTCTACCCTCTCGTCAGCTGAGCAGACAGACCCAATACGACCATACACAGCCTCTTCGGGACACCCAGGTCGATGGTAGGCGTCCTCGATCTACAACGATGCGCAGAGATACATAGAGAGAGAGAGAGAGAGAGAGACAAACAAGCGATACATATATATATATATATATATATTTATAGAGAGAGATAACAAAAACGATACAGGCAGAAACATGGTGTATAACAACACTGAAAGGGAGAGAGAGAGAGGAGCAAACAAAAAAGAGAAAGAGAAAGAGAGAGAGAGAGAGATCGAGAGAACAACAACAAGACACATATAATTAAAGAGGGAAACCGATATATATATATATATATATACATAGAGAGAGAGAGAGAGAGAGACAAAAAAAGAGAAACAGAGAAACAGAGAGAGATAGACTTAGCCCTGCCCCCCGGAACGCCAGCACATATTTTATCGTCTGAAGCAAGGCACATCTTCCACGAACTGTAGAGAGAGAGAGAGAGAGAGATACGACGCCCGGGCGCAACTCGGATATTCCCCCAAGCACCTGGACGCGGCAAGTGGATAGACCACCCGGCGAGCACATGCTGACGAGGAATGGTAGCGAGAGGGGGCGAAGCACGAAACAACTTGTCTTTATAGAAGTCTCGCTAAGTCGTATACCTTCGGTCAGCTCTCGCTAGAACCATGCCGAGCCCCAGGACCATTGGCGCTCTGAGAAGGCTCTCGGGCGGTGTCGGTCCCCCGGGGCCTCCCGGGGAAGCCGTCCGGGGGGGAAGGGTGTACAAGGGAGGTCCTGGTCCAGGGCCCGATTTATACGTATCTAGAAAGAGATAGAGAGAGAGAGAGAGGGAGAACGAGAGAAACAGTAAGAGAGCGAGAGAGAGAGAGGAACAGATGTTGAGAGAGATAAAGAGAGAGAGAGAGAGAGAGAGACAGCGGGAGACATCAGGGGGCAACCGCCGCCCACCTCAGCGCGCACCTTCATCGAGCAGATGTCTTCTTGCACTGTGTCGCGCAAGGCGCGGGCCTGGAGGAGATGCGGAAGCACCGCCGGCGAATGAAGACAGACCTTACTCATGCAGCGATCGCGACGGTCCAACTCAACGCTCAACGCTCATGCCAGAATGGAAGAAACAAATCTGTTCAAGCTGTAAATTAAGCTCGGCCGAACGGACCTGGCCCAACGGCGACACGGTAACGGGAGCGGCCAATGCCAGAATGGATAGCAAGGCTACCTCCGTACACCTGTTCGAATTGCTTGGTAAGCCGTGTCCTGCTGAACAGAAGTGGAACAAGAAGTGGAGGAGGAGGAAGCGAATATAGCTTCAAACTAAATGGCGTCTGAATATGAGAGCAGCCAACCCACAAAATGGAAGCAACATGAAACGAACTCAATCGACTGCCGCCCGTTTGCTTACCAACGTGCGCGATCGGAAAATAAATAGTTGTCCAAGGACAAACCGATCACGTGCCATGCGCACAGTTCTACTAGCGATCCTGATGCGCAAGATACAACCTGGAGCGTGTGGTCACATGGCTTGACACGTAGATTCGAAACGTGTCTGAATGCACACAATTTGCTAAGCCGTACGCCCACGTGTTGAATTTACTCGTAATGTCTAGACCAGGTACGTTTCGAGCACGGCAAGCGTTTCATTTGAACACGGGCGTCTCAGGGAAGCTAAGACAAATACGTATCGACGTAATCACGCCGTTTTGCACAATGCGTGCGTTTGCCTCTCCACGTGTTCCGTGCAACGTCGCGCGTACCTACCTTTCGGCACGAACATACCTCATGGACGCGTTTACACATTTGTACGCACGACAGTGCAACCATGCCGCTGTGCCATGTGCCATGAACGCATTGCTGTGGCTGCGCGGCATCCGCGGACTGCTGCGGCCGCGCGACGACGTACGGCCAACGCGTACACTAAGGATGAACGATACGGATGCAAGCGTCTTGGAAGGCCACGCTGACACGTTTCGATTTGGGCGCAGCCAGCGCGAAATGGCCAAGGATGCACCAAAAAAGAAAAGTGCACAAGCAACCTTGGACAACCGCTTGTCCTTACTATCCGTGTTGACTGGACCCCCCGCCACGTCCAGAGAATCGGGTTGAGTATCGTTTAACCGATCCCCATCCCCTGCTGCGTGGCCTGGGCCCCACTGGCCGATTTACCCCCCAGATGGGATATAGGCCGTTCCCTTCGGGTTTCGAGGGGTGTATCCCCAACTGGGGTGGTAACTGTGGTAACTTGGTGGAGGTCTCGAAGGGGAGGGGGATGAAGATGGGGATCGGTGAAACGATGCCGACGGGTGGCCGCGTCCTTCGGCGCAGTGGCAGGCTTGAGCGGCAGCGGGCCCAAGCGGCGTGCTATCGAGCCGCCCCGCAGGGTGTGCTTTCCCCCTCCGCCGCCTGCCTCCCCGCCTCGCCCCACCCCGGAACGGGGCACGGAGACTCTGGAGGGGAGGGGACAAGGTGGGGCATGGAGCCAAGGACGGGGATGCGAGCTGGACAGGACAAGGCAGGCGCCGATGTGCGCCCCGGGGTGCGGCCCTCTAAGAGCTCGGCGTGGGCGCCGGAGCGCCGGGGAGGTGGAAAGGATGTGGTGGAGGTGGAAGTGGATGTGAAAAGGTGGAGGTGGATGGTGGAAGTGGATGTGGAGATGCGAGCGGGGGGAGGTGGAAATGATGTGAAAGGGAGAGGGGGGGGCACCCCCAGCAGTGGCTCGTCGTCGTCGTCGTCGCCGTCATCGTCGTCGTCGTCGTCGACCACCTCCTCCTTGTCCTCGTCCTCGCCCTCGTCCTCGCTGTCCTGCTCCTATTTCTCCTTCCCCGCCCTCCTCCGCTTCGTCATGCTCCTCCTCCCCCCCCTCCCTGCCTGCTGTCCCCTCCGTCCGTCCTCCTCTTTCCCCCTCCCTCCCTTCCTTAAAACAGGGCTAGGATCGGGATAAATCGCTCCAGAGCGTTCCGGAGCGCTCTCAGAGCGTTCCGGAACGCTCTGGAGCGGCCGCGGCGCCCAATACACCCTCCAAGCCCGCCGATGCTCAGAGATCTCGAGCTATCCCGATCCGATCTTGTCCCGATCTTCGCGTCGTTTTAGATTCCTCACCCTCCCTCCCTCCCTGCCTCAGCCTTCCTCCTCGACGGCGACGGCGAAAGCGAGGCCCCGACGGCAGCGGCGGCGACCCTCGACGGCGCCGCGAGAAACCGCAGCAGCGGGGCGCCCGCCTCGGAACCCGCGCGCTCGCGGATGGCCCGCGCCTCCTCCTCGGCCGCGCGCCGGGCCTCCTCCGCCTCGGCCTCGCCCGCGTGCGGCACGCGGGCGGGGGGGGGGCCTCCTCCTCTCCTCCTCCTCCCTCCTCCTCCTCCCTCCTCCTCCTCCCCACTCCTCCTCCTCCTCCTCCTCCCCCTCCTCCTCCTCCTCCTCCTCCTCCTCCTCCTCCTCCTCCTCCTCCTCCTCCTCCTCCGCCCTCCTCCGCCCTCCTCCGCCCTCCCTGCACCCCCCCCCGCTCCCGGGGGGCCTCCAGAACTACACATCATGAATGCGACTCTCCTTGCTGCCCCTGACTCCCTGTCTCCATGTGCGGAGGATGTCCCGCCCTCTCTCTGCGTACTGTTTTCGCGCACGGGATGCCAGCAACTGTTTGTGTGTGTGTGTGTGTGTGTGTGTCTTACTGTTGCTTACAATCCGACTGTTTTCGGTGTTTCAGGAGGTGCTCCGACGTGGGCCTCATTTTCGGATCGACGCTTTGCTCCCGTCGTTCAGAGTTGCGCTCTCGCCCCAGCGTGGGCCACTTGTCTGGATCCGAATCATTGTTCATCCCCCTCAGTTCCCTTCCTCCGCCTTCCGCTGGTCCTTCTGCTCCTCCCGCTCCCTCCACTCCAGCTCCCGCTGCTGCTGTTCATCCTCGCCCCCCTCCTTCCACATCCTCCTCCTCCTCCTCCTCCTCCTCCTCCTCCTCCTCCGTCTATGTACACAGCTTCCCCTTTCCGATTGCGCGTGCCACGATGTTTTTTGTTTTGTGTTGGAGTTCCAGGTCGGCTGTGACACACGCCCGCGGATCGAGACACAAACGGCGCAATGGGAAGGGATGGAAAATGCATGGATACTGTGCCAGACGTGGCGCGAGCGAACGTAGCTTACCACCTCTGTTTCTGCTTTCCCCCCCCTCCCTCCCTCCCTCCCCTCCCTCCCTCCCTCCCCCCTCCCTGCCTCCCTCCCTCCCTCCCTCCCTTCCCTCCCTCCCTCCCTCCCTCCCCCCTCTCCCTCCCTCCCTCCCCTCCCTCCCTTCTCCCTCCTCCCTCCCTCCCTCCCTGCCTCCCTCCCCTCCCTTCCTTTCCGTCACTGACCTCCCTCATGCATGGAGCTCATGCCAGACGTGGCGCGACCGCACTCAGCTTACCACCTCCTCCCTCTCTCCTTCCCGCCTCCTCCCTCCCTCCCTACCTCCCTCCCCTCCCTCCCCTCCCCTTGCGTCGCTCGCCTCCCTCCTTCGCTCCTGGGAGCGGCGAGGGGGGCAGGGGGAGGTGGAGTGGAGGGAGGGAGGACGAGGGAAGAGTGGGAGAGAAGGAGGATGACGAGGACAATGACGAAGAGCCGCATGGTAAATACAGACAAATTCCCAGAGGGACAGAAGGAGGAGGAGATCGAGAAAGAGGAAACATGCACGTGCAGGCATGATGGAGGCGCTCGTCGCTCTGTCGGAAGGCCGTCCTCCCTGCCGAACTTCGGCGTGGGGCAAGATACCCTCCTTCTTATCCTGGTCCTTCCCCTCCGCCCTATCCTTCCACCCCACTCCTCCTCCTCCTCCTCCTCCTCCTCCTCCTCCTCCTGCTGCTGCTCCTGCTCCTCCTCCTCCTCCTCCTCCTGCTCCTCCTCCTGCTCCTCCTCCTCCTCCTCCTCCTCCTCAACCCAATTCGCGTTCCACCTGGTCCGACATTCGGCACCTCCTCCCCTTGCCTGCCGTGGCGCGAGGGGAAAACTGCGCATGCCTGCTGGGTGTGCCATGCCGAGCGCGCGTGCCACACCTCGCGCGCGCGTGCGTGTGCGGTCGCCTCCGCTGCCTGGCATGACCGACGCCCGTCCCACAGATCTGATGCCTCGTTTTTTGTCAAAGCGGGCCCCCCGGAGTTCCAACCCTTTTCCCCAGGGCCGTCTTTGCGAGCAAGTCGTGTCCTGGCGGTCCCCGGGCCCGGCGAGGGCTCCCCCTGGGCCGCCAGACGACGAGCAAACCCCGTCCCGATGGAACAAACACACGTTGGCTGTCTCGCTGCGTACCGTTTGCGGTCGGGAGCTGTTGCGTAGCGCGTCGCCACGGCGGCAGGAGACCCCAGAATCGGATCGATAAGTCGGATCGGCGATCGAAATGGATCGGATCGGCGGAAATCGGCAGCCGAGTCGGGAGAAGCCGACTCGGCAGAACTCGGAAGGCTAGTAGGCCTCCATCGAGAGATCGGAATCCAAATCGGAGTCCGAAGCCGAATCGGAATCGGAATCGGAGGCCATCGGAATCGAATCGAATCGAATCGGAGGAATCGAAACGAGCCCCGCGGCGGCCCCCGCGACAGCGCTGTGCCTTTGCAGGCGGCTGTCGGCTGCCGCTCCGCGCCTCGGGCGGGAGGCTCGGGAGAGGCTCGGGACGTGGACGCCCGGAGGCCGCGCCGTGGCCGCGTGCCGCGCGCCGAGGCGCGAGGGTCAGACACGGCGGAGCGACGCGCCCCAGAGCTCACGACCTTGGCCGCCCCGATGCGCAACACTGAAGGGGCCCCAGGACACACAAATAAATACACACAAATAAAAAGGTTGCCCATGTTTTCCCATATTTTCTGGGTTTTTGTCTTCCCCCCCACTTCCCATATTTTCCCATATTTTCTGGGGAGTCGAGGATTAATTGTGTCTGTGTGTTCCTTTTCCTCCTGAAACACGCCACGCGTATCGTGTTGACACGGAGCTCAACACGCACTCCGGATCTCATAACAATGGGGGGGGGGTCTGCTTTTGGGGGGGGTCTAACGGGCTTTTTTTGGGGGGGTCTGCTTTTGGGGGGGGGTCTGCTAATTGGGGGGGGGTCTAACGTGAGGCTGAGAGCGTAGGTCCGACGCGATACAGTCGCCAAAACGTGGTCCGATACGCGGAGCCAACACGCAGCGTATTGCCACGGACGTCTTGACCACGGGACGCGTTGCGTTTCAAGACGCGCGTATCGAGGCAGCCACGTTCACGACCGTTCCGCACCTCCGCAGCGGACCCCCGGGTCAGGGAGCCCACCAGGGACGAACACCCACGCACCCGAATTAGTTGCGGCCCCCCAGTCCGCAGAACCAGCCTCGTGGTAAACGCTCGCGCAATGCGCACTTTCGAAACCAACGTGGGTTCGTGTACGTGTGCGTCCTTCTTCCGGGGATGGACAGGCCCCCCTTTAGTAAAACGTGGTTTAGTGAAAACGACCTGAGGCCAAAACCTGGCGGGCGCAAGCCTGGAAAATGACGGCCACGGCGCCCTCTCGAGAACCGACAACGGACAATTCCCTAAATCGACGTGTCGCTGTTGGGGGCTGTCCACCCCCGATATTCTTTCGCTCCTGATCGGCGGCGAGCCCGGGGGGGGCGTGAGCGGGGGCGGGCCTCCTCGGAAGGCTCGCACGTCCTCGAGCCTTCGGACGAGTCGGGTAAACTTTTCCCCCGAAGGCGCAGAAACGCTGCTCAGAAGGCCAGAGCGCTTCTGAGAAGTCCCGCCGCCTACAGGCCAGTTCTTGATACAAAGGGTTTGCAAAAAAACATAGGATTTTAAATCCATGAGTAGTCTACGAATGAACTTATGCATGCACTCATCGTTGCTTTTGATACCCGATCCCTGCATTTTTAGCACACGATCCGCACGCGGAGGGCCCGTGCATCAGAAGGAGGCGGAGAAGGAGACGGAGGAGGAGGAGGAGGAGGACCAACCCAAGTCGCAGTAACGATGTTGGAACACACCCTCCCTCCAAGTTCCCTCTCATAAGCCCCTACAATCATGTATGTTATTGCGGGAGGTTGCCCACTAGAAGGCAATCGTTTGAGAATTCCCCATCGTGCCAAAACAAATTTCCTGGGACTTCATCGCCCATGTGCCAAACACGGCACTGTAAGGAGGAGGCCTTCTCCTCCTCGCTTCCCCCCCACCCCGCGCTCGCCGCCGCTCCCGAGCAGCGGACCCCCCGTGGCCGACCCCCGCCCGCGGAGGACGGCGTCGCCGTCGGCGTCGGCGTCGGCGTCTGCGTCGGCGACGGCGACGCTTAAAGGCTTAGATGCTCGTTCTGGGGACCTTCCTGGAGCCACTCGCTCCACTCGTGCGTCGAAGCTGCGTCGAAGCTGCGCCGAACCTGAGTCGAGCATGAGTCGAACATGAGTCGAAGCTGCGTCGAAGCTGCGTCGAACCTGAGTCGAACTTGAGTCGAACCTGAGTCGAACAGATCCATTAGGTGGCCCCCAGGAAGGTCCCCCAAACGAGCATCGGACGACGCCGCTCCCGAGCAGCGGACCCCCGGGGCCGACCCACGCCCGCGGCGGGCGAGAGCGAGAGCGCGGGCAAACTCCCGGCCTCCGCTCCGGGCAGCGCGACCGCCAGTTTGGGGGGGTGGGGCCCTCAATGGGGGCCCTGGGCACGGTCGAGATCGGCGCACGCCCTCCTCCTCCTCCTCCTCCTCCTCCTCCTCCTCTCTTCCTCTTCCTCCTCCTCCTCCCTTCCTCCGCCTCCTCCGCCTCCTCCTCCTCCTCTCTTCCTCCTCCTCCTCCTCCGCCTCCTCCTCCTCCTCCTCTCTTCCTCTTCCTCCTCCGCCTCCTCCTCCTCCTCCTCCCTTTCCTGATAGACGACTCCTCCCTGTCGTACCCCGAGGCCGGTCGAAAGGGCGGGCCGGGGGTTTCGCCTGAGACTTCCCCACAATGTATGACCCGATGCTTGAGCATGGGCAACAGTTTCACAAATAGCGGGCAAGTGGTTTTCAAAATGTGGATCTCGCCCCGGCGCCACGGACACTCGTTTCCAGCACTTGCAAGAGCTCCACGGATGGAGGGGGTGTGGTTTTCAACATGTGATTCTCGCCACAGCACCGCGCACATTCAGGGGGGGTGGCTTTCGCAACGTGGCTCACGTCTTAGCGCCGCACACATTCGTTTCAAACATGTGCAAGAGCTTCACGGATTGAGGGCGTGCGGTTTTCAACATGTGGCTCTCGCCCTAGCGCCGCGCGCATTCGTTTAACACATTTACAAGAGTTTCGCTGATTCTCATGATTGATGTATCAGAACCTGTGTTTTGAAGCGGTTCAAGACTGTCAAGGCACAACTGTTATGTGGATTCGCGGTGTTGAAGTCCCAAGAACGGCGTTCTGGCACGATTCATGGTCGCCAAGACGTTACAGTCAGGTGAACTCGTGGCGTTGAAGTCCTGAGAATGGTGTTTCGGCACGCTTCTCGATGTTCTCACGGTAAACCCCCGACCTTGTGGGGGCCTGTGAAGAGGGATCTTGGAGGAAGGGTGTATGTCATCATCGATGATGGGTCTTGGGTTTACACTGGTCCTCGTCCTCCTCCTCGTCCTCCGCCTCCTCCTCCACATGAACATAATCCTTTTCTTGCCAGTCCTCCTCCTCCTCCGCCTCCTCCTCCTCCTCCTCGAGATCGGCGCGCGCCCCCGATACGCCGACCGCAGTGTCCTTCGACCGATGCTGGGACGCAGACATCGAGTAGGGGTTCGACTACATAATTGTGTTGCACCAGACTTCCTTTCGAATCTCAAAGAATACGCATCCAATGTCCGTCGATCTGCAGAACAGTAAACGAAGTTTTCTTTCGAGCCTGGGGTAAACCAATACTGCAATCGATCCCTTATTCGAAGAAAAGGACATCCTGGTACAGTGCGGGCGCGGCCGCAACAAAAACCCTCGCAGGCAGCCTGGCCCGGGGGACCCGCGCTCGAGCGGGGTGCGCCTATTGGGAAAACCGCAGCATCCTGAACGGAGCACGTACCGCGGGTTCGTGTCGTGTCGACCCTGGCGTTGGTTCCTGACACCACGGGGAGCGTTCAACCTTGAACGATCGACCGTTTCCGAAACGCCAGATCGGTCAGCATCGACTGATTCTGGGTCGCCAGCGGCGTTCAACGTTGAACGCAGGCGGCGGGGCCGCCGCTGGTCGACACGACGCGGACCTACCGTACTCTGACGGCCGCGGGAAGTCACCACGCAGCGCGCGGGGCGAAGAAACCCAAGGCACCCTGCCGAACATCACCCGATTTCTCGCTGCGCGTCCCCACTGCACGCTGTGTCCTCCTGCCTGGGGGACGCGCGTCCGACCCCGGCATGCGGCACACGAGCCGTGGACACCTCGCCTCGGTATCGCTCGGACGCCCATTTCCCGTGCATTGTTCGGTTTCGTGCGTTTTTTTTTTTTTTTTTTTTTTGTTGTTGTTGTTTTTTGTTTTTTTTTTGCTCGATGGTCCAAGATGGTCCTCGATGGTCCCCGCCGAGAAAAATGCACACGTCCGAGCGATGCCAGGTCGGTTTCTTAAGCGGCAGGGCCAGAATAGAGGGCAAAACATCCCCCCCCATAATGACCACCCCGACACGCGAAGCCGTTTACTAAACGCCCCCACTGAAGGAATCGAACAGCGCAGGGCTGTTCTGTAAACGCCGAAGGCCGTCTAAGTAAACGCCAGTTGTCCGGTCCGGGTGGTCTATCCTCCCTTGACAGAACGCGCCCGCCGCGGAGCCGATACCAGAAGACTGCAGAGTGCACGCGCCGCCCTTGCGGGGCCGACGCGCACGAGTGGGTAAAGACATGCCCAGCCCAGAGGCTCACAGGCACTCCCAGGAACGCCCTCCCAGGAGTGGTTCCAGGCCCTCCCAGAGACTCACAGGCACTCCCAGGAAGTGGGTACAAGCATGCCCTCCATAGGAGTGGCTCCAGGCCCTCCCAGAGACTCGCAAGCACGCACCAACACCATGCCGACTCTTGACGTAGGACGGCGCCAGAAGTAGACTGGGGCAACCCCGAACCAACTATTTTCAACGGTCGACGGGTATGAGGCGGTGCCGAACTGTGTGCCTGCGTTGGGGCCATCGGCCCCTGCACCTGCCCGCTTCTGGAGGCCCTTCCTCGGGGCCGCTGCTTCACCGCCAGGGCTGGCCTCCATTGGCGGCTCACTCTGACGCCGCCAATCTTCGTGTCTCGCACACCTTCCTGCCATGTGGTCGCAACGTTTGGGAACCTCTGCTGCACGGCCGGGCCAATCATCCATGTGGCATCCATGCGGAATCCATGCCGAACACGTCGAATCCATGTCGAATCCGTGTCGAATCCGTGCCGAACCCGTGCCGAATCCGAATCGAATCCGCGCCGGATCCGCGTCAAAACGACGTCGGATTACACGGACAGGCTGCCATTTACGGGACGGGGAAGCCCCCCCCGAAAGTGCAAAATGAGCCCTGGCGCCCAAATATTTGGACGCCCGAGATGTTGTCACAAACCGACAGCGGCCGCGGTTGGGCAGGAGACCTTCTCTCTCAAACGAACTGCGCCCCTGGCGACACCAACATCGAGCCCTCTCCACCATGAGCAAGGCATGCTGTCGGTCTCTGTGCCCATTCTTTCCGCACGAATTTCGATCGTCCCGAAGCGACGTCGGCGATGCATCGGCGCCGTCGACGTGGCGAACATCGGGCTCCACATCGAGCCGCATCGGTGACGCATCGGCGGTGCGGTCCGATCCTGCGACCCCATCGGCTCAGACTCCATCTGGGAGGCCTAGAGCCCAGGGAGGGAGCGAGGAGTAGGACGAGACGGAAAGGGAGGAGGAGGATGAGACGGACGCAGGAGGAAGACCGAGGAGGAGGAGGACGGAGGAGGAGGAGGACGGAGGAGGACGGAGGAGGAGGACGGAGGAGGAGGAGGAGGAGGACGGAGGCGGAGGAGGAGGAGGACGGAGGAGGAGGAGGAGGACGGAGGAGGATGGAGGCGGAGGAGGAGGAGGCGGCGGAGGAGGAGGAGGCGGAGGCGGAGGAGGAGGAGGACGAGGAGGAGGACGAGGAGGTGCCAGCGGCGCGCCTTCGCCTGGCGCCGCATCTCGTCCCAAGCGAGGGCCAACTGCTCGGAGCCCTCGCGCAGCAGGGCCTCCGCCTCCGCCTGCGCGCGGGCGACCTCCTCGCCGGCCTGCCGCTCGGCCGCGGCGCGCGCCTCGAGGATGGGAACGACGTCATGACAGGATGGGCTCTCCAAGAGCATGGGGGGCTCCTCCTCCTCCTCCTCCTCCTCCTCCTCCTCCTCCTCCCACTCCTCCTCCTCCTCCTCCTCCCCTCCTCCCTCCTTCCCTCCTGCCCTCCTCCCCTCCTTCCAGAGGGAGCCCAGGATGCGTCGATCAGTGCTGTGATACACCCTCCCGTCCCAGGCCCCCTCTTCAAGGGGATCTCTGCCTGTCCGGTGCGGGAGGTCCCCCCCCCCCCGAAGAGCCAGAGTGGTCATGGCTTCCAAGCGCATCTGGGGCTCCCAGAACGGGAAGCATGTCCAGGCAGTACCCCGAGGCCCCCGCTGCTGCAGCCCACGGGGAACGATAGGGACTCCCCCGACGTCCTGGGGAGCCTGGGAATCTCGGAACGCATCCGCCTCGTTACTTTCGGCTCCTCGTGGCCTCGAGGTCCGCCTCGCCGAGGAGGCGCGCCCGGATGGCGACGGCCTCGTCCTCGGCCCTCGCCTTGATCTCCTGGTGGGCGCGCGGGGGGGTCGGGGGCGTCCACAACGGGGGGCGTCCAAGACGGGGGCTTCCAAACCACGGCCCGAGGCACACGCGCGGACCAAGGGTCGGGCCGGGCGCAAGGGGGGGATAGCAAAGGGGAGGTTTGAGAATCAGCTCACGTAGCTGCATGCAGCAGATTTCGTACCCTCCCCTTTCCCTATCCCCCCCTTTCGTTCGGCCCGAATGGGGCGCGGGGGGGGGGGCTGGGAACGTGTCGAAATAAGCACAGGGGCCATATCTGGGGAGATCTCGTTGCCGCGGCCAGGACATTATCCACCCCCCTTAGTCATCACACCCCTGACCTCCAAAGTATTGAAAGCTTGAAGACATAACTGTTTCATCGTTTCCGGCCTCTCGAAGCCCTCGCTGGGCCCCAGGATCGTCAGAAAGCGACTCGGGATGGCAAAAGGAACTCGGGATGACAAAAGAGCACTGGGAAGAGGTCGGGACTTTCGGGGACCCCGTATTGAGAATATGCGTACGTCGGATGCCTGGGAGTAAGGAGCGAGAGACCTCCTAAATGGGATAGGAGCAGACAGGGTCGGGGGAACGCGCCGCATCGCCGATGCCTCGCCGAAGCATCGCTGCTGTATTGGCGATGCACCTGCGATGCGGCGCGATGCATCGGCACCGTCGGCACCGTCGGAGAGGAGGAGAAAGTCGGGCTCCACATCAATATCAATTTGCATACCCCATGCATCGACGATGCGGAGCGATCCATCGACCCCGTCTGCTGGGACCTCATTTGCCGTGGAAATTCCACGTGCGCACGACGCATGGCACCGCACTCCGAGTGCACCCCAGCAGGGTAGCTAATCGACGTCCAAAAGCAACCGAATGCAGCCAGCGGAACGCACGTCGATGAGCGAAACAGACTGGGGACTGCACAGGCACACTGGCACGCCACTGCCGAAGGAACCAGTGCAGATTCCCTCGGTCGACTTGTCTGGGTGGGCGTTCTCTCGGTGCCCGAATCTGGGAGGCCGAGGGGGAGCTGAGCGAGCGAGCGAGCGAGGGAGCGCGCGCCCATCGGCCTGGAGGCCGTCCCGTGCAGGGAGGCGCGTGGGGCCACCAATCCTCCCGGGCGGCGTGCGAGTCGATCGGAGTATCGTGTAACCGATCCCCATCCCCAGCCTGGGCCCCACTGGCCGATTCCCCCCCCCCCCAGATGGGGATACAGGTCGTTCTCCTCGGGTTTCGAGGGGTGTGTCCCCAACTGGGGTGGCAGTTAAGTGGGGGTCTCGAAGGGGATGGCGATGGGGATGGGGATCGGCTAAACGATGCCGACGGTCCAGCGCTTCCGGACAAGCTGGCCTGCCTCCGGGAGGCACGCTAGGGGGGCGACTCGGCTATACGCGTAGGAGTGGCCCTAGGCAAGCGTGACCTCTGGTGCGCGGCTCAACGAGGGACGCGGGGTGGGCAAACGCGGGCGCCAAAGCTGCTGCTACCGCTTCGCGTTCAGCGATCGGGGGACTCCATTGGGCCCACACGAAAGGTCACTCCAGATGTCGTGGTAAAAGGGAGGGGGTCACACTGCTTCCAGACGAGCAGTTGTGGACCCCCCCAAGACCAGCCATGAAGGGCGGCCTTCTGCCCAGACCCCACTGGGGCCCTCCGGGGCGGCTCAAATCAGATCCCCCCCCATGTGACCCCCCCCCCCTATTACGAAATCCCGAAAACTCCGGCGAATCGGCGGTGGACAAACCTCCCTAAAGTAGATCTCCCCTTAATGAAAACGGCCTGGGACCGAAACCGACGGACCTGGACCCGCAAAAATGACGGCCGCGACGCCCTCTTGCGAACCCAAAACGGCCAACTCCTTAATCGACGTGTCAGGGTAGGAGGTCTGTCCACCCCCGATATTACGAAATCCGGGGAGGAGGAGGAGGAGGAGGAGGAGGAGGAGGAGGAGGAGGAGGAGGAGGAGGAGGAGGAGGAGGAGGAGGAGGAGGAGGGGGAGGAGGAGGAGGAGGAGCGACCCCCTCCCCCCCCTGCGCACCCTTGCTGCTGCGGCGCGCCACCCCCCGCCCCCGATCCTGGGCCTCCTGCAGGGTCCTGTCTGCCCTCTCCTTGATCGCCTGGCAGCGGGCGGCCTGGTCTCTTGGAGGCGGCCAAAGGGGGTGTCTGCGCTGGAGGAGCCCAGAGGAAATCGCCAAGAGGCTGGCGTGAGGGCTGACTCGCTCGACATCGGTCCTCAGACCCCGCCCGAGGTCGAAGCCGACAAGCTGCTCGAACCGCGCCCGGCCGGGGCGACCCGAGGGCCCCCGTCTTTCCCCTGCTCTTCCACAGGACGAAAGAACTGCATCAAGAAACTGTCGGAGGTCCGCGCTGATTTCTTGGATCTGCGCTGGCCCCTCCTCCCCGGCGCGTGGAGCGCGCCAGAGGCGGCGCCGGAAGCGCCGCCAGAGTAAAACAGGGCTAGGATCGGGATAAATCGCTGCAGAGCGTTCCGGAGCGCTCTCAGAGCGTTCCGGAACGCTCTGGAGCGGCCGCGGCGCCCCATACATCCTCCAAACCCGCCGATTCTCAGAGATTTCGAATTATCCCGATCCGATTTTGTCCCGATCTTCGCGTCGTTTGACAGAGGGCTCCGGCGTCGATCCGAGACATCCGCTGGCCACGGCCACGGCTGGGCCACCCCAGGCCCCTCTGGCCGGCTCCAGGCCTGGTTGCGCTTCTTGCGCAGCTCGCCGGCCATCTGCTTCTCCGCCTGCCTGGCCTCCTCTTCGGACGCCCGAAATTGGTAAAGAACATCTGGGTACGCTGCCCAGCAACAAGCGGTGTCCCAAACCCACAGCGGTCGCTGTTGGGCAGGCGGCCTTCTGTCTCGAACGGACAAGGCCCGCGGCGACACCGACGGTAAATCCTGTCCAAATGGGCAGGAACTGTCGGTCTTTCCGTACCCATTTCGATTGTGCGATCTGGGTGGGGAGCCGAGAAGGTGCTGACGAGGACCTCTCATGGGATGCGTTCTGACCAGAATCTCGCGGCGAATCCAAAGGTGGCGACGAGGACCTCCCTGGAGCCCCGGGAAGGGGAAAACGAGGGCAGGGTAGCAGTATGGGTACAGTGGAGGCCAGTCCACAAGAAACCTTCCAAGAAACCCAACCCCGAGACCCCAGGACGTCCATGGATTTTCGGTGCGGGAGCGTCACGCGTTCCACCGCACAGCCATCGAAACCCGAGAAACCCAGGGCACCCTGGAGGCGAGCAAGGTGTTTCTTGGCATGGGCCCCCACTGTACCTTCCCCTCCTCTCTCCGTGCTCCGAGTTTCTCAATAAGCGTCGGGGGGCGTCACCCCCGCCGACAGCCCCACATCGACCCCCGTCGCGGGCAGCCACCGCGCGCCGAAGGCGCTCTGACCCCCGTCGCGGCGCGACGACGAGGCGAGGTTGACCCCCGTCGGGGGGGTCCCCCCCCGCGCTTACTAAGAAACCCAGAATACCCACCTCGATCGTCTGGAAGGAGGAGGAGAACGAGGGAGGAGGAGGAGGATGGAGGAGGAGGAGGAGGAGGAGGAGGAGGAGGACGGAGGAGGAGGAGGATGAGGAGGAGGAGGAGGAGGAGGAGAGGAGGAGGAGGGAGGAGGAGGAGGAGGAGGAGGGGGCGCCCCTGGATCGAGGAGAGAGATAGAGAGAGAGAGAGAGAGGGGGCGCCCCTGGATCGAGGAGAGAGGGCCCATCCTTGAGCGTCGCCCTCGCGCCGCCGGGAGCCCCGGCGGCCCTGGCGGCGGCAGCCTGCGCCTCCGCGGCCTTGAGCTCCGCCTCCTGCGCCTGGGCCCTGGCGTCGCCTGCCGCCTGGTTGGCCTCTCGGGACGATCGGGCTGGGCGAAAGGGGGGGATAGCAAAGGGGGGGTCGAGAATCAGCTCACGTAGCTGAGTTTCCCGGCGCCTCACGGCGCCGGGAGGCGCTCATGTGTCGAGGAATGGGCCCGGCGGCGGGGCCGAGACCAGCTGCATGCAGCAGATTATACGTACCCCCCCCTTTCCCAATCCCCCCCCTTTCGTCCGGCCCGAGACGAGTGCGTTCCAGCACTCGCAAAATAGCTGCTCTCAAGTCGGGCGTGCCCCCCTGCAGGCGGATCGTGGACGAAAAAAAGAGATAGTCGAAACAGACTCCCCAATTGCTCAGAAGTGGCAGAAAAATCGCCCCCAGACTATGTTGTGACAATTTTGGAAGATTCCTCCTGTAGGGGGACACGCCCGACCTAAAGCTACTCGCAGATGGCCTGGATCCGCCGCGGGGGATGCACGACACATTATACCTAGAGGAAGACATATGAACTGTTGCCGGACATTTGCGAGTAGGCACACTGCGGGTAGTGGAACGCGCCCGGTGCGCCTCTGCGACCTGCTCCCGCAGCCGCGACACGATCTGCCGGAGGATCTCCTCGCGCTTCGCCGGGTCCTTCGCGGCGGGGGCCTGCTGAGCGCACTGTTCCGCCCCCGCCGCCTCAGGCAGCTCCTCCTCCGTCGCCTCTGGGGAGACAGCATGACGCCGATGCTGCTAATTACTCCACGGCCACCTCCTGGGATGTGTTCTGACCAGCATCTCGGGGCGCATCCAGCCGTGGCGACGAGGGCTTGCTGGGACGAGCAGAGGCATCGGTACCTTTTCCTCTACCTCCTAGATGAGGTCGGAGTAGAAGGGGTCGGAGGATAGCATTGGCGATGCACCGGCGACGTCGGCGATGCATCGGCGACGCCAGCTCGGAGAAAATCGGACTCCACATCGAGCTTCATTGCCGATGCATCGGCGATGCGGCGGCATCCATCGACCCCATCTACTCAGGCCCCATTTGGTTTGGAGGCGGCCGGGCGGTCTGAATTGTGTTGGGCCCCAGTAAATCTGTCAGGAAGGGGGATGAAACCACATCCGCTCAAAATCGGTCCCCAGAACCCACCCGGGGCCCATCTGGTGCACTCTGTCACCCCTGATTGTTTTTTCACGGCCCCAGGGTCCGAAAACCGTCGCTGGAGGCTGAAAAAGGCAAAACACCTTCCCGAGCCCAGAACCTCGAACCTGCTCGCCCGTTCTGCTCGCTGGAACCAGTGCTGGGCCACCTGAGATCCCCAAACGGCTCCAATTTTGGGAGGCCTGGAACCTCGGCCACCTCCCCCTCCGCCACTCGGGCATTGGCACGACTGGGTCCAGTGGGACCTGGTTCAATGACGTGTGCTTGAAGTCGCCTCCCCAGCCCCATTCCACTAATTACCTGGAACTGCCGCCACCCGGAAAACACAACCTGCGGCAGACCTGGCTTACATGGATTCTGGCATACTTTTTCGCTTCGGAGCTCTACCACTCATCGGCGCCCCTTACAGTGGAGACCAGTCCACAAGAAACATTCCACAAGAAACCCAAACGACCCAACCCAAGAAACCCACGGCACCCTGGAGGCAAGCAGGATGTTTCTTGGCGTGGGCCTCCACTGCCCATGGATTCCGGATTCTGGCGTACCTTTTCGCTTCGGGGCCCTACCACTCACCGGCCTCCCTGACCCGCGGCCCTGGCTACGCTTAGGCTGGGCATATCCCCCTACAGGCGGATTTTGGACGAACAAATATTCAAAAACACCCCCAAATAGTCGAAAATAGTCAAAAAGTCGTCCCCTAACATCTTTTAATACGATGTTTGATTATTCCTCTTGTAGAGGGACAGGCCCGACTCAAGGCTATATGCCCGAGCCGCCTCAGCTGGTGCGGCGGAGTCGGCGCCCACCTCGCCGCCCTCCTGTGAGGGGCAACGATCGGGGGGGACTGGCATAGGGGGGGGTGGATGCATCAAACTGGAATCGGCGATACATCGCCGATAGACTGGCGATAGGACCCCGATTGTGAATCCGCATGTTCCTGGGCGGGTTGGGGCCATCGGGCCCCCATCGGCGATCAATGGGTGATTGGGACTCGATGCATCCCCCCTGTGCCTATCCTTGAGCAGGGACCGACCGTCCCAGCATTTCTATAGGCCTACCACGAAATTTTCTTAGAACCCGAACATGTTCTGATAACAAAAACAAGGTTCTTAGAACATAAGCCCGATGCGTTACAACAAGACAGCCCCGGCCAGAAATGTGCTAAGAACATTTCGTGCAGACCACAAAAGGTTTTTAGAACATTGCTTGGTCGCCCTAGAGGCACGCCAGGACGCTTCGCCACTGCTTGACATCCCCCCTACTACAGTCAACCTGTCTAGTAAGGATGCGCGATAAGGATGCAAGGGCCTTGCCCGCCGATTTCGAAGCTTCCCGAGCGCGGAGCGGCCAACGAAAGTGGGCAAGGATGGAACGAGGAGGCAAGGATGCAAGGGTGCCCTTGGGAAGGCTCCCCATCCCCTACTGTGCGGGCTGACTGTAGGCCTATAGGCGCGCCAGGACGCTTCGCCACTGCTTGACATCCCCCCTATCGTTATGTTGTTCCCGTCCTACTTAAAGACCGCATCCAAAAATAATTTCGAGCACCCTGAAAAGCGTCAAAAGAGTGTCGAAACAGTGTCGAAACAGTGTCGGGCGAGTGTCTCCAAGGGCCCGACGCGTAAAAACCCTTGGGTTTCGGTACTTGTTTGGGGCGCTCGAAAGTCTTCTTGGTGATCAAGGCTAAAGTAGGTTGGACCATCATAACTAGGGGGCAAACAAACCTACCTTGCTTTTGACCACAGTCGCTTCCAAGAGATACCAAGCGATGCCACACTACGGCCTGCACTGGTTATGCCGCTTGACGAGGAGGCGCGTGGTATGACTTGGTTTCGCCTGGCAGCGAAAGCGGGGTAGGTAATCCAGGCTCTGAATAATCGGCGGTGGACAAACCTCCCTTTAGTAAACCTCCCCTCAATGAAAACGGCCTGGGACCGAAACCGACGGACCTGGACCCGCAAAAATGACGACCGCGACGCCCCCTCGCGAACCGAAAACGGCCCATTCCTCAATCGACGTGTCAGGGTAGGAGGTCTGTCCACCTCTGAAATAACCCGATCGTTGCCCCTGATCCTGCGGCTGGCCCTCGCCGCCCGCGGGGCCGTGCCTCCCCGGCCAGGCGCCGAGGGCGCTCGCCGCCTCGCCCTCATCCTCTGAAGGGGAACTGGGACACACAAATAAATAAACTCAAATAACCAGATTCCACAAAATGTTCCCATATTTTCTGGGCTTTTGTCTCCCCCCCACTTCCCATATGTTCCCATATTTTGTTGGGCATCGACGATTAATTGTGTCTGCGTGTTTCTTCCCCTCCTGATCCTCGTCCTCGTCCAGGAGGCCCGCGCCGCCCTCCGAGTCCGAGGCCGCCTGCGTGGAGGGCGCGTCCTGAGACGCGGCCAGGACGAGCAGGGTCTCTCCGAAGGGCGTAGGCGACCCGACCTCCTCCTCCTCTCTCCTCCTCCTCTCTCCTCCTCCTCTCTCCTCCTCCTCCTCCTCCTCCTCCTCCTTCCTCCTTCCTCCTTCCTCTCTCCTCTCCCTCCCTCCCTTCCTCCCTCCTCCTCCTCCTCCTCCCTCCTCCTCCCTCCTCTTCTCCTCCTCCTCTCTCCTCCTCCTCCTCCTCCTCCTGTTCTCCTCCGACTCCTGGGTTTAGAGCTGGGTCTAAAGGGATCTGGTTTAGTGATGTGTACTGGGGGACGCCCCCCCCCGCCCCCGTTCCACTAACCGGAATTTCCGCCACCCGAGAAAACACCAGCCACGGCAGACCTGGCCTAGTGATTCTGGCCAATTTAAGGGGCTCCAGGGCCCTACCACTAACTGGGTCCATTATCCAAGGTCCTGGCTATACCCGATTTTCAGGAAGGGGAAAAACACACAGACACAATTAATCGTCGATTCCCAGAAAATATGGGAAAATATGGGAAGTGAGGGGGAAGACAAAAACCCAGAAAATATGGGAAAATATGGGGGATATGTTTATTTGTGTGCATTTATTTGTGTGTCTCAGTTCCCCTTCAGATTTGGGTGACCCGAGTCACTGCACCGACCTTGCAGACGTGCTGCCGCGGCTCTTTGTGTGGATCTCTGCCAACGCAGAAGCCCGACACGGCGAGTGAAACGCGAAGGGACTTTCGCGTGGATGGTTTGGGGTCTCCATTCCCGGCCAGAGAGAATCCGCACGAAATCCACCCCGAAATCCGGAACGAACTTCTCCAGGACACTCAGGGCCCATCCTGTCGTTTTCCGCACGAAATCCGCTCTGCGATGTTGGCATGAAGTCGGGCGTGCCCCCCTACAGGGGGATCTTCGACGAACAATAAAACATACTCCACAAATACTCCGCAATTGTCCCAACACACGCAAAACATAGTCCCCAGACCATGTTTGGACTATTTTTTTGAACATTCCCCCTGCAGAGGGACAGACCCGCCACCTACTCCTCCTCCGCCTCCTCCGCGTCCTCCTCCTCCGCCTCCTTCTCTTGGTGGTCTCCAAACCAGGTGGTGAGACACCCGGTGGTGACCCCGATTCCCCCAAAAAATAATTCTGGGTCACCACCGGGTTTGGGGACACGCGGTCGCCACGAGGTTTTGCGTTTCCTGGGCCAGCCAGCGCTCGAAAACCATTACCCAAATCGCCCAAAACTCACCACCGGGTGTTCTCACCACCACGTTTGGGGACCACCGATTCTCCTCCTCCTCACAGCGCACCTGCTGCTCCTGCTGCACGGCGGCCGGTGCACTGGACGCGCAGCCGGGGCGGTGGGGCCCTCGGGCGAGCCTCGGCGGGCAGTGGTCCTGGGGCCTCTCGGAGGAAGGGGCCCTGGGACACACAAATAGATACACACGAATGAAAGGATCCCCCGTGGTTTCCCATATTTTCTGGGTTTCTGCCTCCCCCCCCACTTCCCATATTTTCCCATATTTTCTAGGGAATCGAGGATGACTTGTGTCTGTGTGCTTTTTCCCCTCCTGATCGGAGGCATATCGAGGATCACGCTCAGTGTGGTGGGGTGTGCGCCAGAGGGGCCATGCAGCGAGGACACGCTCGGAGAAGGCTGCCTCGGGAATCCCTGGGAACCGGCCGCTCCGGAAGGTGCCTCGGGCGCGCCGCGGCCTCCTCGGAGCGCGTTCCGGAAGGCTCTGAGAGCGCTCCGGGACGCGCCGGCACGGACGTGTCCCTGTGGGCCGAGCTCGGACGTGTCCCCTATCCCTAAGGTGTGGTGGCGATCTTAGGGACGTGCCTTCAGAAACTGAGATAATTCTCAAGGCCGTCATCGAGGTAAGGTGATGCCAAGCACAGGGACGGGGGTATGGTTCAAACTGGGAGCTTGTCCCAGCCCCGCCCGAAGTCCTCCGCAAGGGGCAGCTCGAAGTCCTGGCCCGGCGGGGGGGGCTCTTGTTTGTACGGCAAAAACAGCACCACAGGCAGCGGCCACCTCCCAGGGGAGACGCCGCGGTGCGGTGGCCATTCGCAGCGTCAGGGCTAACTAACAACAACTGAGGTCATCGTCGTCGATTGTCGTCGTCGTCGCCGTCGCCGTCGCCGTCGCCGTCGCCGTCGCCGTCGCCGTCGCCGTCGCCGTCGCCGTCGCCGTCGTCGTCGTCGTCGTCGTCGTCTTCGTCGTCGTCGTCGTCGTCCTCGTCATTGTCATCATTGCCATCATTCGCAGCGTCGGGGCTGACAGCAAGAAGCACGACCGACCGTCGTGGACGAGCAGCTGCAGCAGTGGCCTGGCCCGGCGGGGGAGGGGCCATCTCCCACCTCCCCCTGCACGTTTGGGGCGCGCTGGCCGAGGACAGCGCACAGGGGAGAAGCGAAGCGAAGCGAAAGGAAAGGAGAAGGCAACCAGGTGCCCAGCCCGTGGTGACTTCAGCCGAGGCCGGAACAACGCCCTGGCCTCTTCGCCTTCTCCGTGTGGAGAGTGGGGAGGAGCAGCCGCGCGCGGCCGGGAAGGCGACGATCCTGGGGGGACGGGGGAGGTGGGGGTTTCGGAAGGGCTCTGAGGTTCTAGGCCTCGGTGAATGGCTATAGCTTCTCCGCGTAATTTTGGGTGTTGGGGTTGGGGGTGTTCGATTTCCTCCTCCTCCTCCTCCTCCTCCTACTCCTTCGGCTCCTCATCCTGTCCGTTCCCCTTCAACCTTTGCTCATCGCTTCCTCACCCTCGCCTCCCTCCTCCTCCTCCTCCTGCTCCTGCTCCTGCTCCTGCTCCTGCTCCTGCGCCTGCTCCTGCTCCTGCTCTTCCTCCTCCTCCTCCTGCTCCTGCTCCTCCTCCTGCTTCTCCTGCTTCTCCTCCTCCCTCCCTCCTCCTCCTCCTCCTCCCCCTCCCCCTCCCCCTTCCTCCTCCTCTCCTCCTCCTCCTCCTCCTCCTCCTCCTCCTCCTCCTCCTCCTCCCCCTCCTCCTCCCTCAACTGCTCCTCTAGGCTGTCGCGAAGTGGAGAGTCCCCTCAAGACTCCCTGCTTTGGGCTTGGAGATTCCCTGTGGGCCTGAGGCTGGATTTGGGAAATCCCAGGCGCTCTCAGGGTGTGGTCGCGTGACTCTCCCAACAAACCTCGGGAGCGTGGTTCGGAACCCGCTCTTGCAACATACCCCTAAGATGGTCCTCGGGGACCGTCCTGAGGCTCTCTCAGGGGCCTCGGAGGCCCTGGAGGTCGGCTCAAAGCCCCAACTCATCGAATCACATTTTTTTCCAAATATGATCTTCGTCAACTGCCTTTCTGATCGTAGAGCGTCCGAGATGGCCCAGGAGGCCCCCGTGACGGGCCCAGGATGCCCCCCGAGGCACGGGGGAGGCCCAGGATGCCCCCCAGATGGGCCCGAGAGGGGGGGACCTCGAACTGCAACCTCGAGCCCTCCAGATCCAGGCCCTTGAGAGAAAGCCGGCAGGGGCCCCCCAAATGGGCCCCCCAGTCTGCCCCTCCTCCTCCTCCTCCTCCTACTACTCCTCCTCCTTTTCTCCTCCATCCTCCTCCTCCTCCTCCATCCTCCTCGTCCTCCTCCTCCTCCTCCTCCTCCTCCTCCTCCTCCTCCTCCTCCTCCTCCTCCTCCTCCTCCTCCTCCTCCTCCTCCTCCTCTCCTCCTCCTCCTCCTCCTCCTCCTCCTCCTCCTCCTCCTCCTCCTCCTCCCGGATGCCCCCGATGGTGCTCCCCCCCGGGCGGCGCCCGAGGGGCGCCCAGGAGGCCTCCAAGATATGCCCCAGGAGAGAGGCGACCGCCATGCCCCCGAGAGGCCCTTGGCGGCGAGCAGAAGGGGGAGGAGGAGGAGGAGGAGGAGGAGGAGGAGGAGGAGGAGGAGGAGGAGGAGGAGGAGGAGGAGGAGGGGGAGGAGGAGGGTAGGGGGAGGGGGGAAGGCTTCTTAGAAGGTGGGCTGCTTCTTAGAGGGCGCCGGCCTTACATCTACAGAGAAGGCCCGCACCTTCTAGGAAGCAGAGGTGCCTCTAAGAAGCCCTCCCCCCCTCCCCCTACCCCTCTCTGCGCGCCGCCAAGGCCCCACGAGGCATCCAAGAGGCGTCTTGTCCACGAATGCGCCGAAGGCCGGCAGATCCGCCGCCCCCGTGGCTTGCAAGAGGGGGTGGTGGCGTGCCAGATGTGACTGTTTGAGGACGAGATCTGGCAGCCATCGATGGGGGTGTGAACATGAGGACGATACGCGTCGTTCATTTCTGATCGTGCTTATTTCTCATTGTGCTCCTTTCTAACTGTTCCTCGCCCCCTAGTGGCCAGGAAGAGGCCCAGGATAGAAATAGAAATTAAAGGATCTTGGGCCCCCACAAATCAATGAACCTTCGAATAATTAGAAATGAGCAGTGTGTGTGTGTGTGTGCTCGAGGAGGCGAAGGGAGCACGGAGCAGGGCCACGTGTGGAGCCCTCAGGAGGCAGCCGGCGGTAATCTGGAGTCGGGCCTGTCCCCCTACAGGAGGATTTGGGAGGAAAAGTAAAAAATAGTCAAACAATACTCCACAACGGTCAAAAATAATTCAAAAGATAATAACCATACTATTTGACTATTTTTGAATGTTCCTCCTGTAGAGGGACAGGCCCGACTTAATGGTAATCCAGTCGGACTTTGCTGAAGTCCCAGCAGGGGTGCGCCACGCCCGCGAAAAGATTTACCCCCTTGTGCGTTTCAGCAACGCTTCGAAGCATGAGCCGTCCGCCGGTGGGCGCAGCCGTTGCGCTGCCCAGTCTACCCATTCACGGAGGTGGCGCCAGGGGCACTCCGCAGACCTGACCGCTGATTGTGGAGCAAGCGGCGGAAACATGAGGCAAGCGCACCTGCGGAACTCAGGGAACCAGGCGAGCCGAACGTTGCCTTCGATGGTCCGCGAGGTAACGTGGGGCGCGCTTTCAATACACGCGGAACGTGGCCATTACATGGCGTCATCGTGGGGTGTCTGTGAGCATGTGATAGGTACAGTCAAAAGCCCTAATACGGACGCGCGGTAAGGACGCAAGACCCTTGGAAGCCGAAGTTGGGATTTCTGGGGCGGCGGAGGACGAACACCTCAAGGACGCAAGAGCAAGGAAGAGCAAGGACGCAAGGGTACCCTGAGCAAAGTCGCGCGTCCTTATCAGGGTTGTTGACCGTATCTGTGGGGCATGTGCTGCTCATTTGTTGTATGATTGTGTGCGTGTCTGGCGCTCCCTCCGCCGCCCCAGGAGTTCAGCTGGGGACCACTGTCAAGGGGCCCAGGGGCGCACAAAGAAATACACGCAAATCCCAGGATTCCCCATATGTTCGCAGATCTTCTGGGCTTCTGTCTTCCCCCCCCACTTCCCACATTTACCAAAATTTCCTGGGAGTCGACGATGACTGTAGTTGTGTCGGTGTGTTTTTTTTTCCCTTTCCCGACACTGTACCGACTGAAGACACCTCAGACGCCCATCGGCTTCTCCGAGGTCTCATCGGGATCCTTCTTCGGCCGACCGAGTACCTGGAAGTCCCAGGAAGGCAGCAAGACCTGAAGTGCTGTGGTTCTTGTGAAGGGGCCCTGGGACACACAAATAAATACACACAAATAAAAATATCCCCCATATTTTCCCATATTTTCTGGGTTTACGTCTTCCCCCCCACTGCCTATATTTTCCCATATTTTCCTGGGGATCGCCGATTAATTGTGTCTGTGTGTTTCTTCCCCTCCTGATATGATCATCTGGGGATTCTCCTGGTGCGGGGCGGAACACGGGTGAGCTGTCTTCAGCGGCCCGGGGGGAGGCCCGGGGCCGGGGAGGACCTGGAGTGGACCAAAGATCCATATGACCACAAGGAGGGGGGGGAATCGGGGAGGGTGCCCTGGCCCCAGGACAGGGGCTCCCGCTACGGCAGGCACATGCGACAAGACATCTTGATCTCAGACACCTTGGGGCCCATTCTTTGTCGACGCTTGTGCCCCAGAGCCCTTCGTGGGTTCCCGGGCAATCGGGGAGTACGACACTTCAATGGGGCGCGCTGGCCGGCCGATGTCTTATCGGGCACACGGCGAGGGCATTGGATGAGGCACCCGTGCCTGAGGAATCCGGGGTGTGGAAGCCGGTAGAACTCCACTCGTGTATTGGCCGTGGATGCCACTGCGGCCCTCATCAGATACGGAATCCCTCAAGGTCTGAAGCATCCTGGGCACACCCTAGAAGAACAAAAAGGTACCGATACCGCTACTCCCTGGACCTCTCCCAAGGTGCGTTCTGATCAGAACTTCGAGGCACATCTGGCGGTGGTGACGAGGGCCCCCCAGGAGGCCCAAAACGGCAAAGTCAAAGCAAAGGTCGCAATATCGGTATCTTTTCCTCCTCTGACATTCCTGAACCAACGACCCCACCGCACGACACGTGTTGGCGGCGCGCACAGGGGGGCAGGGGGGGGGAATGCTTCTAGAAGGAGGGCTGCTTCTTAGAAGGCGCCAGCCCCGTATCTATAGAGAAGGCCCGCACCTCATAAGAAGACGGGGTGCTTTGAAGAAGCCTTCCCCCCTCCCCCTACAGTCGAAATCTATAGTACGGACGGGCTGCATGGACGCAAGAGCCTTAGACGCCGAAGTTGGCACTTTTTGGGCGGCGGACTGCCAACAGCCTGAAGGGCTGGCCAGTGAAAACCGCGAGGGACGGGCCGCGGAGGCAAGGACACAAGGGTGCCCTAAGGACATCCGTGCGTCCTTACTCTGAGTTTTTGACTGTGCAGCCCGCCCGCATCACAGGGATGCGCGATGATGCAGGGGCCTTGGAAGGCCATGTCGACACCTTGCGAGCGGGGCGCGGCCAGCGAACGCGGCCAAGGATGGGCCGAAGGGGCAAGGATGCCAGGGCACCCTTGGGAAGGTTGCCCTTCCTCATTATGCTCGGGAGCCAAGAGGGGGGTGTCCAAGAGGGGGGGGTGCAAATCATGACTGGCGGCATGTGCGCGGCCCAGCGGGGGGGCCAGGGACGTAATGAAACAAGAAGGGGCGCCATGAGATCTGGGGAAAAATCATGGCCCCCGCCATGATATCTACCCCCCCCTAGTCATCACCCCCCTCTTTTCCGCCCCCGATATGCGGGGTGGTTGTGCCCCCCCTCGCCGCGTGGCCGAGCGTGAGGCGGCCACCGCGAGGAACAGCCCGCAGGCCCAGCAGCACTGCGGCGCAGGGCGCCCGAGGCACGGCGCGGGGGAGCGGCGGCGGCGGCGGGAGGCGCGGCCTGCCCGGGCGCGGGGCGGCGGGGCGGGCTCCTTGGCGCCCTCCCCGGGCCACGCGTGCTCCTGTTGGCGGCGCGCGCAGTGGTCGGGGAGACGTGAGACTCGGGCTCGGGAGACTCGGGTTGGCCTGACGGGGCCATCGTGAAAATGACGAGACCCCGTTTGAAATCTGGCGCGGACTCCCGCTGCAGGCATCCCACGAAAACTGGGCCGTCCGAATCCAGGGCGCGCTCGTCGAAAAGCGTCTGCAAGCCCGAGCTCCTGCGCACTCGAGTCATACGTTTCCCCGAAGGGGGGTAGGGGGGAGAAGGGAAGGCTACTCAGAAGCAGGGGTGCTTCTCAGAAGCCTTTCCCCCTCTTCCTATCGAGGGCGTCCAAGAGGGGGGGTCGCAAATCATGGCCGGTGGCATGTGCGCGGCCTGGGGGGCGGCAGGGACGTATTGAAATGAGGCGCCATGAAATCTGGGGAGATATCATGACCCCCGCCATGATATCCCCCCCCCTAGGCATCACCCCTCTCTTGGCCGCCCCCGACCCTACCCCCGGGACGTCTTGAATCAAGAAGAGGCGCCATGAAATCGGGGGAGATGTCATGGCCCCCGCCATGAAATCTCCCCCCCTAAGCTTATGTTGTTCCCGTCCTACATGAGCACCACATCCCAGAAATAATTTCGAGCACCCAGAAAAGTGTCGAAAGGGTGCCGAAACGATGTCGAACAAAAAGTCGGGCGAGTGTCTCCCAGGGCCCGACGCGTGAAAACCCTCGAGTTTCGGTACATTTTCGGCGGCTCGAAGTTCTTCCTGGCGATCAAGGCTAAAGCAGGTTGGAGCATCATAACCCTAAGCATCACCCCCCTCTTGGCCGCCCCCTCCCCCACCCATACCTGGGACGCACATGGACATACTATTACTATATGTCCTCCTTGGAGGCGCGCGTCCCACCCGAACATATAGTATACCCATCTTGTAGTATATCGTTTCCCGAGCGGTGTGGCCAGAAAGCGCCCGCCACGACGCATATACTATAAGATTTCTCGGTGCGCGCGTCGCCCCTGGGGGGGCGACGCACGTATAGTATAAGTATGTTGGGGTGTTGCCGAACCCCCCCTCTGCGCGTGGCCGACCCTGGAGCCCCGCGCGGCAGCCGAGGGCCCCGAGAGATCCGGGCGCTGCGCGTCTCTGCCACGCGGCGCGCCGCCGCCCGGCTTCTCCCAAGGGCCTCACTGGCCATCGCTCGGACGTCCATTCCCTGTGTTTTTTTCGGTTTTTTTTTTTTTTTTTTTTTTTTTTTTTTTTTTTTTTGTTTTTTTCTTCATTTTTTACCAGATGATCAAGGATGCTCCTCGATGGTCCTCGCCGAAGGAAACATGCACACGTCCGAGCGATGCCAAAGACCAGGGCCGGCACGGGGCGATATATCCGGGCCGAGAAGCGCCGCAGCAGAATGGGGTCTGCGGGTCCAGGTCGTGATCTTTACACGAGTCAGCATTCTGGACTCTATGGACGTGACTCTTCCCAGTGTTGGATTTCGTTCTGCAGCGTCAGGTCGCCGAATCTGAAGAGCACGATCGAAAACGTGGGTCGGGGGCATGGGCCTCTTCGAAGAGAGCCCAGGGGGCGATGGAAATACCCCTCGACGAAGCCCATCCCCCGAGATAACTAGAAGACCCGAGCAAGAAACGCATGCGGGTACCCTTTCAAAGTTAGGTCCACTATCCGCTCTCGTGCCAGCGGTCGAAGAGAGGATGAGGGAGGAGGGAGGCCGATGCCAGTCGTTTGAAGACAAGCCCCACAGCAGTCGGACGACTCACGCTCTCAAGGCGGCGCGCTACCCCGTCAGCGAACCTCCGCGCCCCAGCGCCCGACCCCGTCAGCGAACCTCCGCTGCAGCAGATTCGAAGGTTTTGCTTCGCGACGGATGCCTCAGCTTCGGCATGGCCGAGAACCCTACGACGCAAGCTGGCTGGCGGCCCTCCCTATCATCCCAGAGAGGAAGCGGAGGAGGATGATGATGATGATGATGATGATGATGATGAGGAGGAGGAGGAGGAGGAGGAGGAGGAGCAAAAGGAGGAGGCGGGAGGAGGGCGGGAGAGGGAGAAGGGAGGAGGGAGGGAGGAGGGAGAAGAGAGCAAGAGAAGGAGGAGGAGGAGGAGGCGGGATGATGAGGAGAAAGGATGAGGGAGGAAAAAGAGGTTTCGCGCAATACAACGCGCGTCCGAACTAACGGACCCGCGCCAACAAGAGATATGCACCGGCGCCCCTCAGGAGGACAAAGCAGAAGGCGACAGCCTTAAGAACGCACAGCGTAGTTGCCTGGCTACCTCCTGCGCGTGCATATCAGGGCGGAGCCACAGGGCCAGAGGGGGACCGTTCCTCGAGCATCTTGACCAGCTCCAGCACGTGCTTCTCGTCCGAACCGAAGATGGGGAAATCAAAAAATACGGATCCCCTTGCTCCCCAGACCTCTCCCGGGATGCGTTCTGACCAGAATTTCGAGGCGAACCCAGCGGTGGCGACGAGGACCGCCCAGGAGGCCCCAAAGAGGAGAACACGGGCGAAGGGTAGCAGTATCGGTATCCTTCTTCAGCAGGGACCGACCGTCCCAGCATTCCTATAGGCCTACCACGGCATGTTCTTAGTAGGGATCAGAAATCACTACCTTTTCGCTGGTCGAACTGCAAATGTTGATTTGATGGCCCTCATGCCCAAATGATCACTGATCATGATGAGGCCGACATCTGCGCGACGCGGCGCCAAACGCGCGAACCAGCCGAGCTTGCGATTGGAAGGGGCGCCCAGCACGGCGCCGCACGACATTTGGACACCAATGGCTGCCGCCTGAAGGAAACCCTCAACGCACCAGTGGCGCTCTCTGGGCGGCCGGGGGCTGAGGGGGGGTTCCAAGTAGTCGGCCTGGATGCGCCGAGAAGCCGCCCTGGGCGTCTGGTGAAACCCAGAGATCACCAATGCGTCGCCGAGACATCTCCAGGAGCTTCCACATTGACGCAAGTGGGCCCAATAGCTCCACAAGGGCTTTGGGAGAGCCAATAGGGGAACCCGAAGAAGAGCGCGCGACAGGCCCCCAGAGAGGCCTGATACCCCCTAAAGCGAGCCCCCCGCAAAACCCCGCAACGAACCACCCGCATCCGCCCCAGACAGGGACGCAACCCAGACCCGCGACCAGTGAAATGAAACAATTTCCTGTTTTCGGGGATGGACAGACCCCCCTTTAGCAAAACGTGGTTTAGTGAAAACGATCTGAGGCCCAAACCTGGCGGGCGCAAGCCTGGAAAATAACGGCCACGGCGCCCTCTCGAAAACCGACAACGGACAATTCACTAATCGACGTGTCACTGTTGGGGGTTCTGTCCACCCCCGATGTTTTGGCCCACCCAAAACGACGAAATCCTTCATTTCACCGATCCGGCCTGGCGAGGGCTCCAGGGGCGGACGCTGCGCGCGCCCTGAGGCGGCAGGCCGATCGACGCAGGGCCGCGCTCTCGCTTCACAGCGCGCACCGATCTGCGGCGCGGCGCGCGCAGCCCTGCACCTGAGGCCCATAGGCACACGTGGCCTCGATGTCTGTTCGGGGGCCGTTCGAGGGCCCCACCGAATGGCCGATGCATCGCGCATCACGTCGCCATCCATCAATATTTGAAAATACATCTACTGCGCCCGCGCGTCGTTCTCGATGCGGCCGGCAGCATCTTGCGATGGTCACGTTCGCTTGGTTTACGCGTTCCAAAGAGGCAGCAGGCAGCGGAACGAAGCGCGCGCCGAATGATAATTCAACTCAACGTGTATAGTTGAAAACCCACCCCAAAAATGTTCCAAGAACAAACACACTGTTCTTATAACATAAACCCGATGTGCTAAGCCAAGACCGTCCCAACCATACATGTTCCAAGACCATTGCGTGGAAACCACAACAAGTTCTGAGAACACTTTCTGGTGGGCCTGTGCGCGAGCCAGGACGCTCCGCCACTGCTTGGCTGAGAGGAGGGCGCAGCGCGCCTCGTCCGCGGACAGGTCCGGCGACAGGCTCAGGGAGCTGCGCGGCCAGGGCCGCGCACCGGCCACAGCGGGCAGCGGCACCGCCGCAGCAGCAGCAGCAGCAGCAGCGGCGGGCGCCAGGTCGGGCGTCACCCCCGCAGGCGGCGCGGCCGCCAACTCCCGTGCGTCCACCGCCGGGGCCTCCCGCACCGCCGGCTGCGCGGGCGTGCCCGGCCCGCCCGGCCACCCTCGGAGCTCTCGAGGCCGTCGTCGTCGCCCTCGTCCGCGGCACCACCGCCGCGTCCGCCGGCGCCGCCGCCGCCCCGCCGCGCTCCAGAGAGCCGGCGCCTACGACGGCGCTCGCGCTGCGCCTCCGTTGAGGCACGAACGCGAGGGGCAGCCGCAGCCCCACCAGGCTCGCCGTCGTCGTCGCCTTGCCCTCCCAGCGTCAGCTGCAGCCGCCGCCGCGGGCGACAAGCCCGCCCAGCAACGGCTGAAGCCGCCGCAGCCATGGCCGCGCGCGTGACGGCGCCCAGCGTGCGCCGAGGCGCTCAAGCGCCCTGCGCCGCCCGCACCGCCGCGCCCACAGGGACAGCGTTGTCGGCAGCAGAGATGGCCCCTCTTGGCGCCGACATCGGAGCCCCCGAAATCGACAGCCGTGCGATCGCTTGAGGCAAAATGGCTACGGCCTAGAGGAGAAGGAGGAGGAGCAGGAGAGGCAGGAGGAAGAGGAGGAAGAGGACGGAGGAAGCAGGAGGAGGAGAAAGAGGAGGAGGAGGAGCAGGAGGAGGAGGAGGAGGAGCAAGAGGAGGAGGAGGAGGAGGAGGAGGAGGAGGAGGAGAGAGAGGAGAAGGAGGAGAAGGAGAAGGACAAGGAGACGGAGGAGGAGGAAGAGGAGAGGAGGAGGAGGGAGGAGGAGGAGGAGGAGGAGGAGGAGGAGGAGGAAGGAGGAGGAGGAGGAGGAGGAGGAGGAGGAGGAGGAGGAGGAGGAGGAGGAGGAGGAGGAGGAGGAGGAGAATGGAGGAGGAGGAGGAGAGGAGGAGGAGGGAGGAAGTGGAGGAGGAAGG